CGGAGCCGGCGCCGCTGCCGGGGGGGTGCGGCGGCCGGGCGGGCGGCTCCGGTGCGGTGCGTGCCCCGCGGCGCCCCTCACGGCCCCCCCGTGTCGCCCGCAGATGGCGCAGTGCGTGACCCGCGTGGAGCTCTCCGTGGCCTGCGAGCGCCTCCTCGACAGGGACGTGGGCTCCAGGTCCGACCCGCTCTGCGTCTTGCTGCAGGACGTGGGAGGCGGCCGCTGGGCCGAGGTAAGAGCGCTCGCTTGTCCCGGCGTCGCGCTGCCGCCCGCGAGAACCGCGGCTTTGCAGAGCGGGGCTGGAGCGGCTCGCTTCTCCCCGCCAGCTGCGCAGCGAGTTCCTTGTGTGAGCGATCCGTGAGCCCTTCCCGGTTGTCCTGCTGCGGGGGCTGCGAGCCGCGGGCCGAGCCCCGTGCCCCTGGGCTTTGCTGCAGGTGCTGCTGCGCGGGTCGGCCTGGGCCGCGAGGGCACCAGGAGCTGGAGCGCGGCCCCGCTGCCCCCCGGCCCCGCGCCCAGCATCCGCCTCCGCCCGCCCTTCTCCCATCCTTGTATCCCCACCATTCCTCCATGCCCTAGCACGCGTTTCTCCGCGGTGCGGTTTGTTTGCCTGGGTAGGTGTCAATAAGTGGGATGTTGTTTCCTCTAGAGCACGGCCTGTGTTTGAGCCCGAGGCAACACCGGGGAAATAGAGTTTTAGGGAAGAAAGCATCATTTATTTTATTTTGCTCCTGTTGATTAACCGTTTTTTCTCTCTGCTTGTGCAGTTAGATCGAACAGAGAGGGTAAAGAACTGCCAGAATCCTGAGTTCTCCAAGAAATTGGTCATCGACTACTACTTTGAGAAAGTGCAGAAGCTGAAGTTTGGCGTGTATGATATTGATAACACATCCTTTGATTTAAACGACGATGATTACCTTGGAGGGATCGAATGCACGCTGGGACAGGTACGCGTAGAAGTATGTTCAGGGATCTCTATAAAGCAGAGATAACTGTTGGCTCTATTATGAAAAGCGGGAGGAAAGATGGTATTTTGGAGGCTTTGTCCCATTAAAATTGGCCAACCTCTTGTTTGTCACACTCACTCAACAGATTCGTTAATGCTGCCAGCAGATGCAGGTGCAAAAACTGTGAGGTTGAGCTGGAGCTTTTACTTGATACTGGGCAGCTCATGTGGAGGAGCGTGCACAGCTCCGGTGCAGGGTCTGGAAGACGCAGGAGAAAATTCTTGGGGAGATGAGGAAATGTGTGTGGTTTGTAATTAATTGGATAAAGTAGGAAGCTCTTCCAGCACTCAAAGGAATCTAGACATAAGGAACACGTTTGGAGACCTGTAACAGAGCCTGTTCTTGCAAGTTTGCTGTCCCTTGCACAAAAAGAGGATCAGGCAGCAAATTTAAGGGGATAAGATTATTTGAGATTCTATATTTATTACTAGAAGAGGTGTTTGTGTAGCTGGGAGTAGCAAGGTAAGAGTTCAGGGTGTTAAAAAAAAAAAAAAAAAGAGATTGGATAAAATAAAGTTTTTTTTTTTTTTTGTAATACATGTTAGCTGCTTAGAGTGAAAGCATCTTTTTTTTTTTTTGGTATGAGGAAAGGAAAAATAGGAGACAAGTTAAATCTGGAGACAAATTAGTGGGTTTTATTTTGTATTGAGAGAGTGTTTTTCAAGCTGCATAAATGTTTCAGCAGTGCAAATTCTGATAGCTGTCACTTTTAAAGATGGATCTAAAGCCTTTTCGATCTTCTAACAGAGTTTGAAATTTTTACTCTTGAAGAATTGCTTTTTATTTAATCTGATATACTTACTTTCTGCCTTTTAACCTCAGATAGTGTCCAGCTCAGTGTTCACCCGACCTTTGGAACTGAAGAAGGGAAAACCAGCAGGAAAAGGCACTATTACGGTAAATGAGCTATTTTTCTGTGAGGGAAAAAAAACAAAAAAAAGACTGTTTGTGCTCTCTTGTTTTACTGCGTCTGGGGCTGTTTTTTTTTTTAATTACTGTCTTTTTGAAAGCTGCATTTGTAGCATACAGGAGAGGTAAAATTTTGTAACTACACAGAGGTCTTTCATGCAGTAAATATGTTCAGATCTCTGTTTTGTTTGTTTGTTTTTTGAAGTTATTAAATTTTTATGTCACAGATTTCAGCAGAGGAGATTAAAGATGCCAGAGTTGTGTATCTGGAAATTGAAGCTCGAAACCTGGACAAAAAGGTATTGATTCTTTAAATGATACTATATGCTTCTGTAAATGTTGACTATATTTACAGCTAGTGCCCTTCAAGCCGTGAATCTTGCTATATTTGCCAGTATTCAACTAAGGTATGTCATACACCTGTGAAAAAAGGCTCTGTACGTTTTGTTACTGGTCGTGTAGTGGACTTGAGACCTCAGTTTGCACTGAAAAACATGGTATCAACCTGGAAACTTAACTGCTGTGTTAAGTCTTGAGAGATTATTTTTTCTTTAAAATTTTCTATAAGTTTGGGTGGAACAATAATTTTAGTCAACGAATATTTTAGTTTTGCAGTGAGCTAGGTTTTCTGTAATGTTATGTAAGAAGGAAAAGGGAGAGATGTAGGTGTGATACCTTGATGTTATTTTAAGTCAAGGTTTGATGCAGGGTATCGGTGACCTCACTGTGCAGGTGGTCAAATGCCCCAGTTTATAATAACAGAAATGGTCTTAGGAGGCTTAGTCTTGGAATTAGAACTGGTATGTTTTGGTGATTTTGAAAATGCGGCAGTTTAAAATTGTAAAGAATAGAACAAATTTGCAATTTGTACTTTTTTATTTATTTGCTATTTTTTAAGTGTTGTGTGGGGCTTTTATGTTTTCAGGATTTCTTGGGCAAGTCGGATCCGTTTTTGGAGTTTTACAAGCAGACTGATGCTGGAACGTGGCAGCTGGTGTACAGATCGGAGGTAACGTTTCCACACTCCTGCATTCCTTCTTGTTGGGTCAATCGAGGCTTGCTCCTACCAAAAGCAGGAGTCCCCCTCCACCATGCCTTGCACCAGTCTTGCAAGGAAAACTGTCATATAGCTCCCCTCTCCTCCTCCCACCAAAGGATGTAGCTCATCCGTGTAGCACAAAATTGTTTACTTTCTGCCTCCTCACTGGGTCAGGCTGTTTCAGTGAGGAGAGTCCAACCAAGCAAGAGATGAAGAGCAACAGGACATCCCTCTTTCAGCAGTGGTGAGGTGTGTTAGATTAGATTGGCTTGGGTCTATTATCCTCAGCTGATAGCTCTCCTTTCTTTACAGCACCTTGCCTTCTGCTTGGTGTCTCATGCATGTCATGGTCTCTCAGATAGCACTGAGGCTGTTGCAGATTGCCCCAGAAGTGCAGAACTCTCATGGTAAATTTCTTAATGATGTGTGTACAGTGACCTTCACATTATTTGTTGTAATTTTTAAGGTGATTAAGAACAACCTAAACCCATGCTGGAAGAAATTCGGTGTTCCCTTGCAGACATTCTGTGGTGGAGACTTCAATAAACCCATCAAGGTACAGCCCTCAGAAATTCTCTGTGTATTGTTATAAGTAACCCTCTCTCTGTTGAAATGATCTCTGAACTATCAGGTTGATTACTCATATTTAAATTTTTAGATTGCTTTACTTGCAGTACTGCAAGGAGGGTCTTTAATGCAGACTTCAGCTTCATCCTTTCAAAAGAACAGGCACTTATCCAAAATTCTTTTTGATCTTACTAGAAATTTGGTTTTGAGACAGAACTCTTAATTCCCCAAGGTCTTGCATACGATGACTAGTTCTGTCTGATACCAAATTATGCAGGTAGTGGAACAATCACATTTTATTATAAGTTGCTATAAAAAGTCGTAGCCGCTTAAATGTGTTGAAATGTCTGTTTCTAAACACTGTATTGATAAGTAAAGACATTTAAAGCCGTAGATACTTCTAAGCAAGTCAAGTCTCTCTTAGCTTATGCAGCTCCTAAACATGTTTCATTTGCAGAATTTTCCTGCCCCATGATGTTGATGAAGAAATCAAATGCTGAAAGTTTGCTGTTACAGGTTTAGCATAAAGCACGTGTGCTGATCTTTTTATTTGTACAGCAAGGCAAATCCAAAGAATTCCTGAGATGGTTACCTTGGAAATAGGTTTCGAAGTGTGCTGGGGTTGTGGTGTTCCTGAGCTTTGTCACTGGCTGCCAGCATTTCTGGGCCACAAGGAAGTCCTCTTGATACAAATGTGAAAAAGAGATTGGCCAATGACAATAAGTATCTCTTTGCGAAGCTGACTTAAACACTTTTCAGGCATTTCCTTGCATGAGGTTGTATCTCCTGTGGATGGATTCAAATGGATTTGTTTTTTTTCGGGAGCTGTCTGTGCTTTGCAATTCACTTTGGAATGACCTGCTTCTTAAAAATGGCATATTTTTGCTTTTCGTTTCAGCTGGAATTCTTGGTACGTTTGCAAGTGCTCCATTAAGTTTCATGATAAACCTTTGAGATAGCAATATATTCTACCTCACTTTACTGATTAGAACGTTCTGTCAGATGTCTAGCAGCCCTAAAAGTGTGATATTGAGCTGGAATTTTAGAAAAGTGAGTGGAAAGTGTTGTAGGGTCTTTAATTATGTTAGGTAGTTAAACCATTCTTGGAACAGGGCAGTTGTGTTACTAAAGGTTAGGTAGTTGGATCAACTTTATTTGGTATTTGCCATTCTGAAATTCTTGGGGGCTCTAAAAGTTATGTAGGAAAAAATTATGCATGAAATACAGTTCTCAGCGAATAGAGAACTGTGTCTCCTAAACATTGGTTTTGCTAACCAAGTATGGGAAGTATGTAGTGAATATACACGTGAACATAAATCTTATGATCAGTTAATGATGCTACCTAATATTTCAGTAATTTCTTCATTGTTGTGCAAACTAGTGTTGTCCCTTTTTTTTTTTTTTTTTTTTTAAGACCCCTTCAAATTTGTGATGCAACTTAATCTCCTTAAGGGGCAAATAAAAGTAGCTTCTGCCTCTCCCCTCCTCATCCTCCCAGATGTTTAAATGTAAATAGTAAATGTGAGGTTTAAAACAAAAGAACAGCATCTACCTTTCTGTCCACTCGATGGCATATGCATAAAGGAAAATCTGCTCAATTTCAGAAATTTGTCCTGTGGACAAAAGGAACCTTTTACCTAAAGGTATCCGAAGGTTCATAATACTCAGTAGTACAATTGCAAAAACAATTATCAGTGAATTAAGCGTAGTACCCTGCAATATTGCTGGTTGGGTGTCAGAAAGCAGCTCCTGACAGCTTTTTGATATTTCTGTCTTGTGCCTTCTGTGCATCTATGGCAGCACAGCTCTACAGGCTGCGTATTGTGAGTCTCAGCCAGTTTCAGAAAACCCTTTCAAAAGGAGTTTTATTCTGTGCTAGATCATGCTGTGAGCTACAAATGGAAATGGGCCTAAATACAGTTTTATTACCATGGCAGAGAAGACCAGAGCAAGGTCAGGGGAAGAAGAGGAAGTGTGTGGAGGTGGCAGCTCCTGAATTCCCCGGCAGCATCTGCAGGGATATCAGTGTGAAGGAGGCCCTGTGCTATAAACGCTCGCCTTGGTCTCCTGACAAGAGCATTCTTGAGCAGACAAGCCCTGCCTTTTTCCCATTGAGGGTATAAGATGATGATATGATGGTTCCTGAATACACTAGTTAGGCTGTTATTCACCCAGCATTTTGTAGAGATTTCCCAGTGGAAGATACCTAGTGGATCAAAGATGATAAAGAGTCTTGAAAGAAAGCTGTCCTCCACTTCAGTGACCCAACCACTGCATTTGATACCTTCGTCCAGCTGTTAGAGATGAGTTCACCCTGCTCCTTCATCCTGAGGAAAAAGCTCTCACTAGGCTTTATACTAGGGGTTACATCAGTTTCTCATTTATTAAAACCAGGTCCCAGGAAGAGAGTTTTTGAATTCAGGTTAGTGCGTGAGTGGGCAGCTGTTCAAAACTTTTTGTTTCTGGGTTGACTGCCTTGCAGTTACCTGTGTTCTCCCATCTGACGTGTTGTGTGCATTAAAAGTTCTTCTGGTTGCTGGCTTCATGCGAAGCTATTGCCAGTGTATATCTAGCAGGGTGTGCTCTCAGCTGCAGGCACGAGCATTTTGTGTTGTAGCTGTATTGCTCTTTTGTGTTATCTAACTTGGAGGTTTTAAGCTTTTGTGGTGAAGTAAACATAACTAGTTGTTAATGAAAATTTATAATTTGCATGATGGAAGATGCAGGGGGGAAAATTGACAATGCACCGTGGAAATGGTAGTTTCTTTGTAAATCCATGCTATTGACAGGCATAAAAAAGGAATACGTTCAGAAGCAGCCCAAATAAGACACTTTTGTCATTTTTTTCCATTACCCAACTGTGTCCCTTGTCCTAAACTATCTCAAGTTCTCAGCTTTGGGTTGTGAGATGTGTTTTTTGGGGGGGTTAGGAGGGGATGGGTTTTTTTGTTTGTTGGTTTGGTTTTTTTGTCTCTCTTTTTAAGTGGGATTTTTTTGTCTTAATTAAAGCAAAACTTTCCCTTCCCATCCTTGAATGGGTGAGCAATCCTGTGTCTTCCTCCAGCGATTCACTGTGAGTGTTTCTTTTCCCGCCAGGTCTCAGTAGTGTGGATGGCGCCCCAGCTGCTCCCGTTTGGTGGGGCGCTGGCTGCAGAGCTGTGGTGGGCAGCAGCCCCTCTCCCGTGCACTTGCCCATTGCTTGCTGTCTCTTCCCTTTCAGGTACAGTGCGCGGATCACGATAGCGACGGGTCGCATGACTTGATAGGCAGTTTTGAAACTAACCTGACTCAGCTGCACAAAGCGAGTGACAGCTCTCCGGTGAGCTTTCCCAGTTCCCTCCCTCCAATCCGTGATTCAGTCTTCCACAAACCCCTTTGAATATTAATTTCTGTTATATGTATTTTTAGCTGCTGCTCCAAAAGTGATTTTTTTTTCTGCCTGTATCTTTTTAGTATACATACATCTGGGAAAAACAAAATGTGGCATGGGAGATATAATGCTCCATTTTCTTGGATACTGTTACCATTCTTGTACCTAAAGATATCCTCAAGAATGCTGGCTGCTTGCTGTTTTCTCCAGCAATTCTGCTTTTGCTGAGTCAAGAATCTGACCGTGTTAGGAGAAATGTTCATGTTCCTTGTTTACCCTTTTTTTGCTTTCTGTTAGAACAACTTTGTTGTATGATTGCTTACAGAATGTCACAATGTCATGTTGCTGATGAGAGAAACCTGAGTTCTTTCCTCACGTGTTATTCTGCATTGGTAGTGGCAGCGTCCAATTTAACTTGTCAAATAGCAGCCGAAGTAGCTGCTAACTCTTTGAAACAAAGCCTCAGAGTAGCACCAGACATTTAGATAATCGCTGAAATTATGTAATGTAATATTACTTGTTTTGTAACTTGCTTCTTGCATGCTTGCTTTTTGTAGGTGGAATTTGAATGCATTAATCCTGTGAAGAAACAAAAGAAAAAGAGCTACAAAAACTCTGGCATCATTAGGATAAAATCCTGCAAGGTAGAACAATTTTTCTGTTTAGCTGTTTTGTTTTCTGATTATAAAGAAATTTGCATGCATGGGAAGAAGGTATAACCTTGTTTGTCTGTTCCTTTAGATTGAAAGAGATTACTCATTCCTGGACTATGTGATGGGAGGCTGCCAGATTAACTTCACAGTGAGTTTGTTTGCCTCTATACATTATTGCCTCTTTTCCTGCCATTTACCAAAACGTTATGTGATCCTTTTAATTGCAATAAGAACACACACAGCAAATAAATAGTAACTTCAGTATTATCTGGAGGGCCTTAAATATGTTTTGAGTAATTACATCTTGATCTAGCAGTGGAAAGGTTGACTATTCTTTAACATGCACCAAGGGGAAGAGGCATGTGGACCTGTTTGCCTGTCTCTGGGCAGGGTTGCCTTAGTGTCTGGAAGGGAGGGAGTTGTTTTGGGGCCAGTCTTATCTCTCTTGCTGGATCTGCATCTTTTTGCTTATTTGCTCGTGGTGATATTTCAGTGATCTGCTGCCATTATTTTCTCAACTGATAGGTGGGTATAGACTTCACTGGCTCCAATGGAGATCCCAAGTCACCAGATTCCCTTCACTACATCAGCCCAGATGGGATAAACGAGTACCTGATTGCCATCTGGAGTGTGGGAAGTGTAGTCCAGGATTATGACACGTAAGTAGGAGGCTCTTAACTCATCCGGCCACGGCAGTAAAAATGTGTCACCGCAGGTGTCAGTGATAAAGGCTTGTTCCACAGCTCCAATGTTCGAGTGACTGCGGTGTTCCCTTTCCTGGATTCATTCAGGAGCTGCTATTTCTTCCTGCTGCATTTCTCCCTGCTTGGGGGAGACAGTGACAGCATGTCATACTTTGGTTTATTCGCTTGATATGTCCTTCCACTTTATGCTTTTTTATGATTCTGGATTACTCTGTTGCTTTAATTAACATTCATCTCTCGTTGTTGCTGATGCATTTCAAACGTGAATGCCCCGTTTGGATCGGGGATTTGCTTGCTCTGTCTGTTAGCCATGTTGTGATCGGGCTGCCTTTTCTCATAGTACTTTGAAATCCCCTGAAATACTGTGGGATGCTGTGTTGGAAGGATTTCTTAATGCCTTAAACGTTTGGATTTAAGGCATCAAGATGACTGGCCTAAGAGAACTAGGTAGCGTGTCAGCTCTTCATGGCATCAGTGCATCTTGTTCTCCAGCTGATTTCTGTGAATAATCCAGAATAGTGAAATACTAAAGAAAGGTTCTTAAACTTTTTTTCCCCCCCTTTTTTTTTCCCTTGTTGCCTTTGTCTCCAGGGACAAGCTGTTTCCTGCGTTTGGGTTTGGAGCTCAGATTCCTCCTAGCTGGCAGGTAGGGGCCTCCAAGCACTGTCACGTTGCTCTGTGCCTGTCTGCATTCCCTGACTGCTTGTAATGTCCCCTCTCCTAGGTGTCTCATGAGTTTGCTTTGAACTTCAACCCCAGCAACCCTTATTGTCAAGGTGAGGAAAATCTTTACTAGTATTTTATTAAAGAGAGGCTAATTGCAAGCATTGCATTTCTTTCATAACTAATGAAAAACAGATGCACATCCAGAAACAGACATCCCCAAGACATGCCACAAACCAGACTTACTGTTATCTGGACGCTGTCCAGAGGGAACATGTGTTGATGCACAGTAGTTTTGAAAGAATCTTAGCAGCGCAGTTATCACACTAAAACCTGTGTGCAGGGCAATGTGAGCGGTGAGCTCACGTTGAGCAGTGGCAAATCAATCTGTATCAATATAAGCTAGGAATAGGTGAATTTACATGCATCTATAGAAGAATATGCACCATTTAAAACTAAACTTTCTTTTTCTTAACTTGGTGAATTTGTAAGTTTGCTACACAGGAAAAGCTTTAGAAGTTGCTGTTTCTGTTACAGAAGTATTTGACTCCTGAGTTAGGGATCGTTGTCCAGTGTGAACACAAGGAAGACTAAATAGTTGCTGCTCCAGAGAGCTTCTGACCTTCTTTCTCTAATTAGACTATAAGCAATTAAGCAAAACAAAGGTGGAAAAAAAAGGAAGGTGGAAAGGACAAGGTAAACTTGTCATCAGCATGCCTTCACTGGATTGGTTTTCCCTAAACTCACATCGGTTTTGTTATGTTTGAGGCACAAAGAGCAATATGAAAATACAGAATTGGGAAGAAATCTGCAAATCTTATCTGTGCGGATGCCCCTTGCTTTCAGCACCGTGCTTTGTATAGTCACTGCTCTCCTGCTCGTTGATCATTTGTCCGTCAGGAGTTTACATCTGTGTGGGAGTTATCTTTTGCTGTGCTGCTTAATAATGCTTAGAAAAAAATTGCTAGGGAAGTTTTCAGGCTTTTGTTGCAGCTTGCTTTCCTTGTATTACAGGGATCCAAGGGATAGTGGATGCCTACCGCCAGATCCTGCCTCAGATCCGTCTCTATGGTCCAACCAACTTCTCTCCTATTATAAACCACGTGGCGCGGTTTGCGGCGCACGCGGCGCAGCAGGGGAGCGCCTCTGTGAGTCACTGTCCCCACGGGCTGCTCTGGGCTTGGGGAGCGTGTCTGGCTGGGATGGCATGGAACGGTGAAATGGTTCCCTCTCCTTGCTCAGGACCCGAAGTTTGAGCCTCTTCAAGTCTAAACTGACGCCACCAGTAGTGTCCTGGTTCATGCTGTTGTGTAGCTGTGCGTGGTACATATTGACATCAGCTTCTAATGTTCAGTTTTATCTGTTTCTTTCTGGGGAGTTTTCTGGCATTGTACTTACATTGAAGTATATGGGTGAGCTGTGTTGGCTTTCAGACCAAGTGGGCTGTGTAAGTAATAACCTCAGTCTAACCTCTCTGTTGACAAGCTTCAGGACCTTTAGGAAACGCAAAGTATAAGGAGGCCCTATTTTTTTTTCCCAAACTGTTCTGAACTCAATAATAGATACATAAAGAAGACCTGAGTAATATCAGAGGGTTTGAGCATTTGTGCTGCCGTAGTTGCATACAGATCAGGGTATCTAGAGGGCCAAATTAGCCAGATAGTGTGGTAATTGGTAAATGAATATGTAAGTTGCCAAAAGCAACGTATGACATTGGTGTTCCTCCTGTGTTTGCATTGCACATGTCTTATCTGTGTGCTTTTATGCCCTTGGCTGGTGTTCAAATCCAACTCTGCAATTTAAAAGTTCAGTCTGTTTAAGGACAAAAAGCTCCTATCTCCTGGTGCTTTTAATTGATTTCATTTTGATGGCCCAATTAAAAGTCATTTCAGGTATACCATCATTCTTGCTCCATGGGAAGGAGCTCCAATTTTGCTCCAATTTGCTCCAATTGCTCCAATTTTAGTAGTACTTAAGCTTATGTGTACATACAGTTCATCCCCCATTCCATGGGATGCTTTTGGAGTTAAAAGTTTGGTTTTCTTTTGTTTCAACTTTTAATCTGTAAATACTTGCTTTAAAATAGTGCTTGCTTTTTACAGAATCCTTAACCTTTGGAAACAGAAGGAAATTTTGAACACTTTACCATGCCGGTGTTGTGATTTGAGATATTTTGTTCTTTCCAGACAGATTCCTGTGTGCTTTTCCTTTGGCGGTCTCTAGAGTATCAGTGTGTTAGGAGGATCATCACTGCCATGCTTTGAGATATCTAACCCTGCTAATTTAAACTCATGTCACTACTTGTACCAAAAGGCTACTTTTTTGAAGCAGTTAAATTTAAGGATGTAAAATAATAAACTTCATCATTTTGAAACATCCATTTATAAAGCAGTATCAAACAGTGAGTTTTGTAAGCAGCTTTGTTGATTTAGTAGTACATTGCTCCTTCTTAGTGCTTTCTACCACTGAATATATATATATATTTTTACACTTACAAATCAAATACAGGCTGCTGGGGGTTTGTTTTAAATCTTGCACAAAAGAAATCTGGAGTGCATAAGGAAAGGTGATAGGTACATGAAAACACTGGAATAACCCAAAATTTCCTTAATATTCTGGTTTTGTTTTCTTCAGCACACCATCTGCTTTCTTCTTCAGAGTAACAAATTGTTCCTTTGCGCCTTGAATTATCTGAGTTTTAGTGCTAAACTCTAACTGGGCATCTTTTTCCTGATATTTTTCAGCAATATTTTGTCTTGCTGATCATCACAGATGGAGAGATCACTGACCTGGACCAAACTAGGCAAGCGATTGTTCATGCCTCCAAGCTGCCCATGTCCATCATTATCGTTGGAGTTGGCCAAGCTGATTTCAAGGCAATGGAGTTTCTTGATGGAGACAACGGCGTTCTGAAGCCCTTGACGGGAGAACCAGCTGCACGAGACATTGTTCAGTTTGTGCCTTTCCAGCAGTTCAGAAATGTAAGTTATCCTCGACTTCAGAAGAGTCCCAGTGCCTATATGTATGCAGCTATTGCATCAAAAAAAATTGCATTGGTCTGGAGAATTTATTAATAATATAATGCATAGTATGAATTCATCAATCTGTCACAGGAAATGCTGTCCAAACTGCTTGTTTCCAGCGTAAACTGTGAGGTGTTTGCTTCTCTCTTCGAAGCTCAATGTCTTATCACAATTTCCCTGCAGCTTTTCTGAACGAGTTCTTGTTTTATAGCTTGTTGCATTGCCAAGAGACAGGATACTAAAGAATTAGAGGAGAAAGGAGGATATTTTCTCTTTCTTTCTGGGATGCAGCCATTTAGGCAATGGACTGGGAACATACTAGGCCTTATCCGTGCTTCTGATGTCAAGCACCATGAGTGGTTTAAGCTGATACTAACCTGTCACTTCCCAGTTTCTCATGGCTTTTTATGTTGAGGCAAAGATTCACAGATGTCATACAGTGGATTAAAGAGTGCAGCCAAATGAAAACTAACTCTAAATAAGCGTGACTGGTTGGCTCAGTTTCCCACCTAGCTCTGGGTGTGGGCCCTGTGGAGGCTATGTCAGCTTGGGATTGAGATTGGGCCAGTGCAGGAGGGGAAAAAGGGATTTCTTTCAGTGGCAGTTTATGCTGGGATTGACTGAAAACGCTACTGAAACTGTAGTAAGGAATTCTCAAAATGCTGAGGGGGAGATGTGAATGAGCAGCAGACTGTGCTGCCTTCTCTGCCTGGTTTGCCTGGCAGATGGGGGGTATTTTGAATTCTGTAAGGGAATATGTCTTACTGCTGATAAACACTGTTTCTGCAGGATCTTTGATTTCCTTTGTCCTCGCAGGCTCCCCGGGAAGCTCTTTCCCAGATGGTCCTGGCTGAAGTGCCGAAGCAGCTGGTGTCATACTACAGGTTGCAGGGATGGCCACCTGTGAAACTACCAGAAGTAAAGCAAATATAGAGCGCAGCCCGGCGCTGGCCTCGCGTGTCGCCGGGTGCACCCGGCTCTGCACCCACGCTTCTTTTGCACACTACAGAGTGCTCGGTGCCTCGAGAAAGCACCGTTCACACTAATTTCTCTTTTCTGCTTGCGCTTTGCATCTTTTATCTTTCCTGTTCTCAATAGGAAGAACTGTAAATATGGGGAAAATGCAATTGCTGGCAGTTTTTGTCACAGCGAGTAATTCTTGTTGGCTTTCCACCTTGCAGCAGTGACAGGAGACGCCCCACATCCTTGCTTGGTGTAGCCCAATTCCTGCTCGATGTCAGAAGGGGCATGTGCGCTGGCCTGCACAGCCCTGCTCTCTCACATGGCTGCTTCAGTGCTCGCCAGGGCAAGTACTGTAGTCGTGTTTGCCATAACGATACCCATCGTGTTCCTCGGTGGGGTTTTCCTTCTCTCGAGCTGCCTTGGGAATGGGGACCCTTCTGTGCTGGTTGGTACCAAAGTCTGTTGGTTGGGTGCCTGAGGTAGTTCTTGTGCCTTCATAAAGTGCCAGTATATTTTTATATGTAGAGGTTTATTTTTAAATTTCAGTTACCATAATTACCAACTATTTTGTAAGTTACATTTTTGTATTTGCAACAACGGCTTCCTGATTTACTCTTACTTTGGACCCATTCTTGCCATGTAAGAACACTCTGCACTTTGCTTGTATCTGGGAGCATTCATGAGGTATGTGACTTTCAGCTGTGAACATTGAAATAAAGACGCTTGAATGATATTCCTAATATTGTGCAATTATCAAATGACAAAGTAATTATCTGTGGAACTCTGAAAAGGTGTTTTGTTGTCCTCAAAATGCGAACCATGTGTAATTGTGATTTGAGTACTGTGGAAGAGGCAGATGATAACGAACACAGTTGCCTTGAGGCAGTGGAGATACTTTATGCCTGTTTTGAAATGAATTAGCTTGGGCTTGTCATTGCTCTACAAGTGGTCATTATTCTGTTTCATGAATAAATAATCTGCTTTGATCTGTAGCTGTGTCTGGACTCTTATTTCCCTTCTGCGCTTTTGTTTTCCCCCAGAATTGATGTGGTGGTTTATGGAAGGTCCTTATTCTAGTTTTAGTGCCATGGGGGCAGTGTCCGAGTTAGCTGGGGTTGAGTGTGAGGAAGCAGAGCAAGGCCACGTGCAGCCTGTAGCTCTGTGCTGCAGTGCAACGAGCTGTTTGTTTCACGTGAGCTGGTCACTCATCCCTTCTCCTGCGCACACCACAGTTGTGAGGAGAATTTGGAAGACTGGCCTAGTGATTTAGCACACAAACCTGGTAGGTTACCCACATGTGAAAGCAAAACCTGGATTTGAACCCATAGCCCACCTAGATTAGCTATTCTGGATGGTATCAACCACCAAAGTCTAAAATACAGCTTGTGTTTGAAGGGCAGCATAACCAGGAGCACCACTGAGTAGACATGTTTTTGCTGTTCTTTTTCATTCAGATAAAGTTTTTATGCTGATATATTCTTCCAGGTTCCATATGCTGCAGACAGTTTCCTTCTTCCAGAGAAAGCTGGAATGGCTCTTTAAGGTACTCCATCATCTAGCATGCAGCATCCAGTTTTCATCAGATTCTGTGTTCAGATGTTACAAGCTGTAGGTAGAACTCTTCCTAACTGTGTAGCTATAATTTGTTTCTGCAAATCTAAGGCTGTTTTTAAAATATTTTTTGGAAAGTGGTGAAAGGCGGAGCTTCTAACAGTGATCCTGAAGACTCAGCAATCCTTTGATGCAAGAAATACCAGTGGCATTGTCTTTGCTATGGTGCTTAGAGGAGTACTATGAGCTCTGGGAAAGCTGGGCAGCAGAATGCATAGTAAGAAATGCATTTTTCCTTCTTAGACTTACGTATGTTCTGCTCAAAAAGAATTAAAAAAAAAAGAATCTTCTGTAGTGCCTGTCCATCTCCACTGGCTGTGAAGGGACAATTGGCGTAGCTGCTGTAGTCACTTGAGGACTGGAGCGTTTGTTTGTTTGTTTCCCCTCCAGTTTTGGAGAAGAAAAAACAGCCAACTATTTGAGCATTACTGCTAGTGTGGAACAAGATGACAAGCCATTAGAAAGGCTCATTTTGCACTCTGCAAAAACAAAACCACACGGTTTTGTCTAGTTTCTCTCCATCTTGACTCTTACTGTGCCAGAGCTGCTCCTCGGACGCAGCGAAGGCCGGAGTCAGGACCTGTGTCCTGTGCCTTGTGCTGCCTCGGGAGCAGCTGGAATGCAGCCTTGCAGGATGCTTGTTGCCCGAGGCAGGGCAGAGCCCAGGTTTTCTTACGTTCTCCTCCATGTGTTCGCCTGCCCTGGGTGTGCCTGTTCCCCGTTCCAAATCACTGCTTGCTCCGTAGCTCTAGGAGGCAGATTCGTGCTGCGTCCCTTCTGGCAGTTGCTGCGTGGGTGTAGAGAATACCTTCACCTCTGCTTCTTGATGTTTCCATTTCTTCTTGCTCTGGCCAGATCCTGTTGACACAGCTGGACTCTGGAAAGCCATGAAAGCTCTAAAAGTGGTTTGACTTGATCAGCTCCTATTCACTCGTGGGCTTGACAGATTCAGCTCTCAAAATCATTGGAGTCAAGGAGGAAAGGAATGGGGTTATGTGGTTTTTGGTACCATGTTTTGTGGTATCTAGCCCAGTGCTGTCCCACCAAAGCACGTTGTGTTGTTCTGCTCAGTATTTCCCCTTAAACTATTGTAAACTTAGTTCAGGTATCTCCCATAGTATAAACTTACCAGTTGTTTTTCTTTCTCTCAGATCTCTTAGTACAATGTTCATCCTATGTAGGTGTCAGCACCCAGAATCTAGTGAAGATTCTTCTTCCATCACGTTTTATGCACTAGTATTCAGACAGCATTTTTCAAGTTATCACCACCAGCATCCCTGGGAAAGTTTCTTCACTTCTACAAAGACCCTGTACTGTCAACTTATGTCTGCAACCCGTGTCTTCCTCCGCATGGGGCCAAATGCTGCCTATCTCATACCCAGCTCATCTCTGGGTTCTGGAGACACTGGAACTGTGTTACCAGGTCTTCCTGGTGCCCTTTTCAATTAGGTCACTTGGACACTGATGACTTACTACTGCTTACTACCCTTAGGGGAGGCTTTGCCCATGGTGTGGTAGAGAGGAAGCTGCTCGTCCTTCTCCTCAAGTACTTTCAGGAGGTGTCCTGTAGCATGGTAGTAGCCTTGCCGGTCCCAATGGAGAATGAAACACTCTTGCAACACTGGCAACATTCTCTTTCATTACCTGCTGACGTGCATTTCATTTTGCACCAGCAGACCTTTTAAGTCCCCCAGTGATCTTATAGCAAATGGCACCTACTTGCTGTCCAGAAGTGCCTGCACATCTGCAAGGATGCCTTGGTTCTCCCGGCACGTCAGAGTTTCCAAGCTTCCACTCAAGATTTTAAGGAGAATTTCTGGTTGAAGTGAAGGTTATTCATTTTCAGGGAGGTGGTCTGGATGTGGCTGATGTGACACCTAGAAGCACGTCTGAAATGGGATGATGGTCGGAGTTTGGTGCCCTGGCCCCCCATGGGAACTTCTGTCACAGTCAGTCTGAGACTGTGTGCACCCCTCTGTGCTGTTATGGAGCCATGCTGAGATAACCTACTTAATATATCTGTCCTTTGTACCTCAAAAGAGACCACAATTTTTAGCAATCTTTCCCCTCCTCATCCTCAGGGACCTCAGCCCTCAGTCACAACATGGATGTAACTGAAGTTGGGGTAACCATTCCTGTACTGTCAGCATCGGGGCAGTGCTCCTGTAATGCAACCTCTCAGCATCCCTCTTCCCTATATTCCTGATGTTTTTTCTTCCTACTTTCGTACCTGCAGTAACAGGCCACCTTTGTACCAGGGATTCTGTGTTCAGTTCCCACAGGGACTATTTTACTAAAATTAGCACATTACGTTCAGGTGAATGAAGTGCTAAAACCACTCCAGATGGCCCTGGAGCCCCAGCTGCTCTGGAGAAGCAGCACCCTTCACACCAGCTTGTTTCCACCTGCAGCAGCAGAAGCGCTTTCCTGGTGCTCCAGGAAGTTCTTGTGTAATGGAAGATAAGGGGCATGCCTGCAGGGCTTGCTTCGAAGCTGCCCAGTGCGGCACAGGCGTGATTCACTGCTTGGTGTTTGCTGAGCAGGATTAAGCTCCGCGGGCTGGGGTGCAGCATGGCCTCGGGGTGCAGCATGGCCTCTGCAGCAGCCTCTATAGGAGCAGGTGTTTCGTGCCACGTGCCGGGCTTTGGTCTCTGCCAGGCAGAGGGTGGAGGGGGAAGACACAGACCCCCAGGAAGAAATGCCCGATTATACCATTGTACTACATACCATTATTATACCATATAGCATTATAACATTACTTTAATCTGGTCTAACTCTTGGCTCCAGAAGGGCCCTGGCTCCAGCATCTCTCACAGCTCGCCGCTCATGCGGACGTGCTGCGAGTGGGAGCAGAGCCCACGCTGGGCTGCAGCGTGACCGGCCCCGACTCTGCAGAGCTCTCCTCCGAAGGCGCCCGCGGCCAGCGGGACGCGCACCAGGGCTCCCTGCCATGCCTGCTGAGGGCCGGGCCCAAAGCGCTTCCGTGCCGCCGGAGCGTCCGCCAGCCACGCTGCAGCACTGCTGCTAGCCCGTCCTCCAGGGAGCCTGCACCCGGCCAAGAGCGCTGCACCCGCTGACGTCCGCGCGCCGAGGCCAGCGCAGCTCCTCCGCTTCCTTGCTGTTCCAATGCACTCCTGTTTCCCTGAGTGGGCTAAGAGGTAACATGACGAGGGGCTGCTGAGCTCGCACCAGGCTGAGCAACACCTTTCTTGGCATGCAGGGAGCCCAACCCTCCTAATCAGAAGTCTGAGAGCCTCCTGGGCAGCTTCCTCTCCCCACCCTCCTCTGTTTGCTTTGGAGGGTTTTACTGTTAAAGCTGTGATTTAGGAACAGTTTCTTTGCACTCGCTGGTGCATTGAAGAGTTCAGGTGCTGGGTGCACCCACAGCAGGGCTGCCGCATGGGCTGCGGGCTCCTGTCTGCACACAGAGCTCTGCTCTGCCGATCCATGGCGAGCGGCCAGCCCAGGACGATGTCCTCTGGTCCCAGGCTTCGGGGGAAGCCAGTGCCCCACTGGGGCAGCATCAAGTTTGAGCTGAAAAGCGGCGGTGAAACGGCAGCCTCTTCCCCTGCGCATTTCCCCATCTCCTTCCCCTCAAGCGCAGAGCTCTCGCCAGCCGGGCCACCCTCCCTGCGCCTGCAGCCCGGTCTGTGGCCCTGCGGCCACTTTGGGGGGCGTGGAGGAGCAGCGGGGGCAGCAGCAGAACCTGCCGGGCGAGTCGGCTGAGTCACTGCGGGCGGAGCAGGGCCTGGGGCAGGGCCGTGGAGCGGGGCCTGGAGCAGGGCCCGGGGCAGGGCCGCGGGCAGCGCGCGGGGCAGGCGGCCGCTCCATGGCGCTGATCGTGGCCGTGCGGCGGCTCTCGCAGCTGCCGGGCCGCGGCGAGCGGCAGGTGCAGCTCAGCTTCCGAGGTGGGCGCGGGCTGCGCGCGGCCCTGGCGCCGTCGCTGCGCAGCCGCCCTCACGCCCCGCGCTCTCGCCCTGCACAGGCTTCACGCAGAGGACGAGGAGGCTGCGCTGTGGCGCCGAGGCCGTCTTCGGAGAGGTGAGCGCGGCTGCTCGTGGGGCTGGCGGGTGTCACACGGGCCCGAGGATGGAGCCCGTGTCTTGGAGCACCAGCCCCGTCCCAGCCTGGGCACCTAGAAATGTTTCTCCTGGCACCAGGGAAACCTAAAAGCACCTAAAAGTTTGAAAGCCCCCAGGGCTGCCAAGCTGCTGTGGTTGTTCCCAATCTTTAATCCCGTCCTGGTTTTCTGGAGTCCTGGGTCAGGGCTTCCCTTGATAGGCCCTGGCCAAGGGGGCTGCCCGCCGGGAAGGGCCCATGGGCACGTCTGGGTCAGCAACATCCGCAGGCTGCAGAAACCGCCGTCGTCTGTGTGTCCTGGTTCGGCAGCTTAGTCCAGGAGCCTCACGTATAGAAATGTGTGGTGAAGCTGTCAGCCTTTTTCCTTACACCTCTCCATGCCCTCATCTGGCTCCGTAGCCAGTTCTAGGACCTCAAGGGGCATCACAGCTCCCGGGTGACTGAGCTCTGGTTTCTCGAGCAGCTCTGCTCTGCTCTGCACTGCTGAGGGGGCTCTTGCTCCCCGTCCTCCCCCGCTCCCAGCCACAGCATCTGGCCTGGCCAGCACAAATGTCCTCTCTTGTGCAGCCGCTTTTCACTGTGTTCCCTGGTTCAGCAAGCCCCCAAATGTGGGGAGTGTGTCTGGGAACAAGACATCATCTGTAACCGTCTGCCAGTGGCTGGGATGACATTGGCTTTCTGCGGGTTCTGCATCCTGACCTGGTCCTGCTTGGGAACAGTGCCGGCGCTGGTGCTGGCGGTGGACAGGGCCAGGGCTGCCATCAGATCAGCCCAACAGCAGAACTTCATCTGCTGGGGCAGTGAGCTGGTCTGTCTGGGCCGTGTCACCCTCCTTCCACATCCCTGTGGCCGTTGCCCAGAAACCTAAAACTCATGATAGAGTCAGATGCCAATGAAATGGAAAGCCCTGGAGAGGCAACCCAGGCAGCATCCAGGGCCTAGAAAGTCCTTAGCTGGGAGCTTGGTCATGCTGGGTTAAAACAAGGGGCTGGGCAAAGTCCTGGCTGCGTGTCTTGGGGTTGGCAGTGCTTTGCAGATGTGGGAAGAAGAACGGGGGCAGAGGAAGGTGCTGCCCCCCTTACACCAGGTATTCAGACCTGGCCAAGCTGGAAGCCTTGGGGAGAGTGAGGCCAAGTGAATTTGGGCCTTGCAGAAAAGGAAGCGTTTGGGAGCTTGTGAAGCTCCCTCTGGTTAGCCTGATAGCCTCATCTTCCAGAAGAAAGGGCTGTAACAACCTCCCCCCCACTCCATTTTAGAACTTGCCTGTCCAAAGTTGGCTTTAGCCACAGCCTCCAGTTACCTGATAAAGGCCGGTGTTTCTAAAATGAAAGTGAGCAGAGATCTGCATCTTCTGGCAAGTTGAACTTGCAGGGTCCCACCTCTGTGTCCCCTGGCTGGGAGGGACCTGGGGCTGCTCCAGGGCAGCTCATAGTATCTGTCTCCCTGCCATTGGCTCAGTCCTGCTCTTTAATCCAGAGGGAAATTCATATCGTTCTGATAGTTCAGCTTTATCCATTAGCTGTGTTCTGTCTCCCAAAAGCTGCAAAAATGAAGCAAATTCACTGTGATCTGTTTTTTTCTAGCTCTTTCGCTGGCCTCACTATGGGAAGCTCATCATGGGCGAGATGCTATCCATCAAAGTTTACAACTGCAGCAAGGTTTTCAGTAATAGGTAGGTCCTTATGGTTGTATAGGGGGACCTGGCCACCTTGGGGCTGGTTATCCAGGTTCAGAATCATTGAAGGGTGAAAGAACAACACAAATTGTGGGGGAAAGAAATAATGGCTTTTAAAGGGGAGTGACAAAGGCTTGTTGGAACCTTTAGGGGAGGAAGACAAGCAGGATACAAGCTATAGAGTATAAGTACAACTATAGAGTAGTATGCAATTATAGATTGAAGATGGTTTGCCAACAAAAAACGGAAACTCCAGAAGGATCCAAATCTGGCTTTCTGGTGGCACAAAGATAATTCAGGACCACACCAGAAGCAAAGCAGCTGCGAGGGCAGGAACTGCACCCACGAAGACCTGCCCTTATCTGTAGATCCACACTACAACTGCGACCACCCTGCACCCAGACTCACCATCCCTGTAGGTGGGGAGTAGCCCCAGTTCCATGATAATAAGATTTAACATGTGAGAAATTTAAACATGAAGGACCTTTTAAAGAATCAGACAGCATATAAAGTGCTCATATATAAAAGCTTTATATAGAATATAAAATGCCACCACAGATGTGAACTCAGCAGCTATCCCAGCAGTTGTAAAAACCCTCCAGGAAAACCCAAGATTGCAGGTGACAGGTGGAGCAATGGTGGTGCAATAGGAAATGGAGTAAAGACTTGCTTCCAGGACATGCAAAATATGCACAAGGGAAGCAGAGAAGAGCATCAGCTCTAACAGGTGAAAGGTGAGAACTGAAGATCACCAGGAGCAACTTTCTAGAAGCAGCTAATAGTACAAACCTCTGCAAAGCCATCCAAAGCCTGCCAGTGTGTGTGTGGAGGAAGCAGAAAATGTGGCTGAACTTTGTGTCACTATTCACTGGACCTTTTCTTTATGGGAGACATTTCAGAAGAATGATCTCAGACCGAAATGTCAATAGAAACTACTTAAGAACAAATAGATAAAGCAAACAGTAACAAATCACTAGGACCCGATGGCTCTGGCCAAAGGACTCTGATGTGGAATGGCTGCTGAGCAGGTACTGGCAGCATCTACAGCATCTACCCAAAGACCTCCAGTGCTTGGGGCAGGTGACAAACACGACATTTTGAAAGCATTTGTTCAGTGCATGGGGACTCTCAAAAATAAAGAGCAGGTGGAAGGATGGAAAAGAATATGTTGCCAAGCCACTGTATCGATCTGCTGCCTGCCCTTCTCCTGGCCTTTGAATACAGTCCTTCCACTGAAGCAGCAGAGAGCTAGAAAAGCTGGAGAGGAGAGAGGGAGGGATGAGGAGAGAGGTGGTGCCTCTGCTCCATCGTAGCAGTTTGCCTGAGAATCGTTGCCACAGCCCTGCTGGCTTGGTGTGTCCAAGCATGGATTTACTCCAGCTCTGCGGAAGGAGAGAGCTCATTCGTGCCCAAAGCGATGGGCTCTGCGCAGGCCTTTCCTTGCATCACCAATGGGTTTGGCAGAAATGCTTTGAGCTGCTCTAAGGCAGCTGCCCTAGATTGGGATGGAGGCCGTCTTGGCATGACCTGCTTCTTGGGTACTTTGGATGTCAGACCTCCCACGGAAAGATCACGGCTGGCAGGATAAACCATCTCCAGCGTTTGGAGGGGATCCGAGCATCCTGATGCTCTGCCCTACTGCTGCATGCCGTATTGTTAGAGTCTGTGGTTTTGTTACAGGCTTCTTGGTACCCTCGTCCTCAGCCTTCAGCATCTGATGACATCTGGGAGGCTGATCCTCCGAGAGGCCCTCGTAGACAGGAACCACAGCGTCACCGGTGTAAGTTCTCTGCAGGCAGTTTGGGATGGGCGCCCCTCAGTCTCTCCTCTTGTTGGGTGTACGTACCTGGGGCGTCACCATTTGGAAAGGCTTGGCAGGAAGCCCTGGCTGAAGGGTTCCAGATGCCTTTGGGAATAAATGGAATTCAGAGCCATGCTTTGAACATGAGGTACTACCTGGGGTGGGATTTGTGTGGGCTTTGACACCGTCGGGCACAGCTGCAGGGATGGAGTGGCTCTAGGAGCATGCCAAAGTGCTTGACGTGGTCTGGGGAACCTTGGAGACTGGATTGGGGCCCAGCTGGAGAGAAGGAGGCCCGGTGAAACCTCCCTGGGGCTAGGTAATAGATGTAGGACTTGATATTTCATCTGCTTCCCACACTGTGTGAATGTCCATGGTTCCTGACGGAGGTAAGGAGCCAACAGTTTGAGGCTGAAAGTGACAGGAAGCTCCCACGGAGGTTTTGGGTTAAACCTCGGTGCTAACCTAAAGGTTTAATGACAGTTCCTGAGCTGCAGTCCAAGTCTGTGTGAGTGGGTCTGCCCCGTGGTCCCTGCTCCCCTCCTGCCTCCCTGCTGGTGCTCACTGGGCCCTTTGTGCTGATGCAAAACAAACCCACCAAATAAAACGAGCCATTTCCTGCCAAGTTGAGGCGCAGGCACCGCTCAGGAGCCAGACAAACCCAGCTTGGAGCCAGACAAGGCCGGGCTCAGTGCCAGGCCACGGGCAGGAGGAGGGAGGTGGCGGACCCCGGACACGCTGCCATGGGCTGCGCCCCTCGATTGCCCTTCCACGGGCAGCCCGTGGTGACGTGTGGGGCGCAGGGGAGGTGAGCCCGGAGGGGACAGCCACCAGCTGCGCGGACATGGCTTTCCTTTGCCACCAGCGCTCCCCATGGAGCGGCCTGGATCGGGGAGCATGTCCCCCCGCCCCGGCTGGGCTGCACAGGGGCTGCTGTGGACAGAAGGGTAGAGGCAGGACTGGGCTCTTGCCCAAGAGCAGTTAAGACCCACATCTCAGCTGGGAAGGAAGGGGCATTTTGTGGAGGGAAAGCAGCTGTTTCAATCTGCCCAGTTCAGGCAGTGGTTGATGCCCAGCACGGTCTGGGGATGTTGTAGACCCCGGACCCATCCTTGCTGTGCTTCCCGATTCCTAAGGCCAGTAGAGTTGGGAACCTGGCCAGTCGGTCCCCTTCAGCCCACCAGTGGGTGACCTTCTCCACGGCTGTGATTTAATCTCTGCTGGGAGATTGCCATGTGTTCGCATTGGCTTGGTCTTGGTCTGGTCACCTGCAGACTGAGCCCCTGCTAGGTCGGTGTGGCCTCTTCCTGGCAGGAGGAATGACTCCTGGGGAGATGTTCCCCAAAGGGCACGCCTTCCTATTTCTCTTTTCACCGTCTTTTCTTTCCCTGTATGTGGAAGCTTTTAGGAGACCCAGAAGCCCAAACTCTCACCCTCTAATAAGGGTGTATTTCTCCTCCCGGGCACAGATCTGGAAATGGAAGCAGAAGTTTTGCTTCTAACTCATTCCAAATGCACAAATAAATCCAAGTGCAATACTTTAGGAAATTCAGGTTGCTTGAAGTGGAAAGACCATAAGATCTCTGCAGCACTAAGTCCCCAAGGGAAGTGCAAAATTGTGTCGTGCTGGACATACAGCCCTAGCGTGCAGGAGCCTCTCTCTGTGCTTCTGTAACATCCCTAACACAGATCTCTGTCTCTCCCTCCCTCGCTGCACTGGGAAGGTGAGAGCTGCCCTCTGCACAGTGATGGGCTGGCAGGAAGATGCGTTTGTGAAAAGGTCTGTTTTATGGCAAGACCCTGGTGTATGACTCCAGAACAAAGTGATTGGCCTGGGTCTTGACCTCCACAAGGGAGATATCCTGAAATGTGCTAGGTCTGTAATGTCCCATCCTGGGTCTGGCAACAAAGCCAGTCAAGGACGTGTCCATGCCATGCTGCCTTGCTGATGCCTAGCACTCTCCACGTTCCTCCAGCCATTTGGAGAGAAAGATAAATCTAGTTCAGTGCCTTTCCAGCTGCCTTGTGCCTCCTGCAGAGAGAGCACTCCACACACATGTATGTTAAAGCTCTCCCTGCTTTCCTGGGCAGAAGTGTCCAGAGAGCGTTCAGAGTCCTCTCTGTGGTGTGTTTTACATTTTGAAAGGTGAGTTTAGCTTCTCTTCAGTGGAACACCTGAATTTGGCAGGCTGTAGGTTTGGAAATGGAGTTTGCTTAATACCAGCCTATTGATGGAGGCAGTCAAGGAGAGCTTGGTATGATTAGGCTCTTCTTGGAACAGCAGTCTCCTCCCTTTGCCTTCTGTCCACCAGCATACCACTTCTTTTTTCTTCCTTGTTTCCATTCCCCTTTCCTTCAACATTTATGCACGTGTTTTGCGATTATGAGTTCTCAGACGGTTGTATTTTCTGATTTTAGATCTATATTGAGCTGGATTTGCGCTACCAGCCCCCAGATGGCTCAGCTGGAACCTGGGTGGAGGATGATTTTGTCTATCAGATGAAAGACAGGTACTGGGATCTTGGGAAAAGAAAATTGGACAGCTGCTTTAGGAGGATGCTTATGTCACTCAACAGGATCAGGGCTGTGGCTGTTGTGCTGTTTCTTCAGTGAAAACCAAGCTGTGATATGCTTGGTTTTCAGTAAAGCATGTTGTTTCTTACAGTTCAGAATTAATTATCTGCAATCCTGGATTTGAGGAGACAGAGTAAGTAGCTGTACTTGAGTTCATCAGCTAACCCTCCCAGGCAGTAATGGGATGGAGGGGAGTAACAACCCACTCCTTGGGGCAGGCGATGTGGTGAGTGATGTGGCAGGGGGGTTTGCAGGACAGCCGAGGGGCAGAGAGCCAGTGAGCTGGACAGGAAGGCTGCTGCACTGGGTAGGAAGCTGGTGAAAGGCCTGGAGACCGACGATGAAGAGGAGGAAGAGGAAGAAGATTTCTATGATGTTTCTGAGATGGAAGTCTCGGGCATTGTCTTCAGCCCTGTGAAGAGGTAATAGTCCTGTGCTCTCCTCTCTTGCCTCTGCTTGGGCCTCGGGGTGGGAAGCACTAGATCCTGGGGTGATTTCCAGGCAGCTCCTAGTATTGCGTGAAATGTCAGAAAGGTTCAATCTGATGGTCAGGTAGACAGAAAGTGTGGGGGGTTTTCTTGTTCCTGGGTGAAGGAACCATACATTTCAGGTTTTGTGGTCATTGCCCTTGGTGGTGGTTCTCTCCAAACCCATTCAGATAAAGGGATCAGCTCACCCACATTGTTTTTCTGTGCAGCCGTTCCAGGCATTGCTCCAGATGGGACCTCTTTGCCACCCCAACCCCGCAGAGCTTCCAGGTACTGCAGTTCCGGGCACATGTCCTCACAGCTCTCTCTAGCCCCACAGTTGGTCACTGGGTGTCCTGCTGTTGGCCTGGGCTTCTCCAATTGCCACATACCCTGGCAAGACCTCTAGCATGAACATGCCTTTTGCTTGTGCAAGGTCTGAGATTTTTCCTGAACTGACTGCATCAGGCTCCAAAATCTGCCAGCCCAGGGCAGAATGTATATTGGGCCGTATACTTAGCTGTGGATGTCCAGGAGGAGGGAATCAGCGTGATGACCCCCGGCGCCACGGTAAAACACTGCTGCAGCACAACTTCAGAGAGTGCCAGGGCACAGCTTGCCAGGCTGCCAGGGCCTTGCCAGGGCTGCCCAGGATGTCTGTGGCCACAGCTGAGGGTCACAGGGCCAGGGGTAGGCGGGAGGCTTTCTTGGAGATCTTGGGAGGCTGGAATGGTGTCGTGGGTCTGGCCGGTGCCCTGCCGTCAGGTTTATTTGAAACTACTGTGAGGTTTGGATATGAAGTTCAGTCCCATCTTCTGCCTTACTTGGGGCCGGGTCTCCCAGCCTGCATATGCTGCTTCAAATCTTTCCCTGCTTTTGTGAAAACATGAACTCAAATTAGAGTCTCCTGCTTTTCAAGGTTGGGTCCTACCCACCAAACAGGAAACTTTCATGAGGGGTTAAGTTTCTTATGGTCCTTTTCTCGAAGATATTGTTCTTCATTTTAGGGACTATCTAATTGCTTATATTGAGAGCAAGCATGAGAACATTTCTTCCAGGTCTTAGTATCCAGTCACAGGAAACGAGACAGCTAGACTGCAGTCCTGGCAGCAGTGTTCATCTAGCTGAGATTTCTCCCTTCAAAAGAGAGATTTCTAGGAGATTTCTTTCTTCAAAGAGAAATATCAACAGAAGATACAGAGTGCATCTTCTCTGAGATGCTTTCTGGGCACTCCATCACATGGAAGCAGTGGGTTCGCCTCCCCTCGGGACTGGGAACTGAGGGGGGACAAATGCGCTAGTAGGGAAGGAGAGACTCTCTTCAAAGGTTTGGGGATTGAGCATTTCATCTCCTTGTTTGCCTTGTCAGTGTCAAGAACTCTGCTTGGCAGAAAAAAACAAAGTCTCTCAAAAAAAAAAAAAAAAAAAAAAAAAAAAGAAAAAGAAAAAAGAAAAAAAAAAAAATAAAAAACAAAAAAAAAAAAAAAAAAAAAAAGAAAAGAAAAAGGGTCTCAAATACCAGTTTTGTTTAGTCATGGCCGTCTGTAGTAGTTTCCAGCACTGTGTCCTCACCTATCCTGAGCATCCCACCCTGGTGGGGTGAGTGTCCTCTGCCTTTTTGGCCTGGCTGTAGGGAGGCAGCAGTGGAAGCTTCCCTTGTACTGGTATTGCTCACACAAGCTCAAGAGGCAGCTGGAAATGAGGAGCTGAGGATTTTCTTCTATGTTTTCCCAGGTTGGGATTAATATCATTGAAGCGCAGAAGCTAGTGGGAGTGAACATTAACCCCTTTGTGGTGGTCAAGGTTGGAGAAGAGAAAAGACAAACAGCGACACAGAAGTCAACAAACTGCCCCTTCTACAACGAGGTACATGTTGCAGTCAGGTGCTCAAGCCTTGCTGTGTCCATGTCCTGGATGGACAGGGACCATCTTTGCTGGGAATGCTCCAGAGGCAGCTGCTTTCCTGTGAGAGCCACCTCAGGAGAATGAGTTTAACTCTTTCTCTTTTCTCTTTCAGTATTTTTTGTTTGAATTCCATGAGCCAAGGGAAATTTTATTCCACAGGCTCATAGAGATTTCGGTAAGCATGACTTTCTGTTTGTCCTTCCTTGGGTAAGTGGTGCAGACCTCTGCTTCTGCCTGTAGATGTTGGGAGCATTGGGCAGAGCAAGGGTACCAACGATGAACAGTCTTCCTCATTGCTTGTCAGCTGGATGCAAAGCCTACAGCATCTCCAGCTGCTGCTGATGCGGGGTCAGTTTTAGAAGCCCTCAGGGAATTGTCTTTCCTTGGCAGAAAGCCTGCAGTTTCACCCCGCTGAATGGAACCATGCTGGTTTTCTGGGCTTCCAGCAATTGAACGGGGCCTCTGGGCATTTTTTTTTTTCCTATGTCTTGCTACCTGTTGGTTTTAGAGGCAATACCCTGCTGCCCCTTATCCAGGAGCCTCCCATTTGCATGGGGTTAAGGCAAATGATTGGTTTTGTAGGAGCAAGGGGGAGTTTGAAATGCCCTTGCAGGCATGCAGGGAAAAGCAACCTTCACCCCCCCAGTACAAAGTGCACAGACTTTTCTGAAGTTTCCACAAGACTTTTCTGAAATCCAGCGAGTACCTCTTCTGCCATGTGGCCTCTGGTGCTCTCTCTGTCAAAAGCTGCAGTTCTCTTTTGCTTGACAAACACTAAGTGTGGTCCAGTTATGGGAGAGAGGCTGGCTTTGTGCAGGGCATGGCTCTTGCAGACCTGGTAGGGCATGGGGGTAAGCAGCCCAGGTGGGAAAGTGGATCCTTGGTTTAGCTTTGGTTTAGCTGGGTCTGGGAGAGTAAGCATGGCAATAACTTGCCATGGCCTGGTGTTAGTATATGGTTATGGGTGGATGGGCTTTGTGGGAACAGCTGAGCTGGGTTGGGACTCAACCAAGGTTAGAGTTTGGTCATGTGCTAGTTCAAATGGGTCAATGTGCAAGAGGAGCTTGCAGCTGCTGTTGCAGCTGTGTGTTGGACCAGGCATTTCTTAGCAGTCCCATCCTCCTTAAGGTTGTGCCTGGACTTGCTGCTTGGCAATCCATAGCTCTTGGTGCTCAGGAGGATTTGTGCTGTCTGCAGGTCTTTCACTCAAAGAAGATACCATTCCTGGGAACATGCATAGGGACATTCAAAATGGATGTTGTAACAGTGTACAACCAGCCAGGTATGACCGTTGGCATCGAGTCCTGCTCCCAACCTGTGGTTCATCTGAAGCCAATATTTCCTCCAAACTTTGCTGGGTCTGGTGAAAACCTTCTCTTGAAAGACCTTGGTTTAATGAGGCCTGGCGTTTGCTTTTCCTCCTGGCTCTCTGGGGCTGCATGCTCAGGGACAAGGTTGAGTGTTAAATGGTAAACTGGATCTTAGTGCTGGAAATTCCTTGCCTTCCCTGTTGTCAGATCACAGGTTTTTTCAGAAGTGGGCGGTTATCAGTGACCCCACAGACACCCGGGCAGGTGTGAAAGGCTTTGTGAAGTGCAACATCTCCGTCACCGCACGTGGGGATGTTGTGGGTTCCCTTCCCACCTCCTCCAGCAGCCGGGATGAGGACATTGAAAGGTGAGTGCAGGGCATCCTCTATGGACATAGCAAAAACAGTCATCTTTCTCTTCACTTTATGTTCTTTGCCCTGTTTTTGCCCTCTCTGATGGGGGAAGAGCAGGAAAACAGACCTTCTAATGGGCAGGATCCAAATCTCCTGCCAGCTGGGGCGTTTCATTTCCCAGCTTCAGGTTTCCTGTACCCCACCAAACAGCCAGAACATCTTTTTGTCTTTTAGGAACCTGCTGTTGCCTAAGAGAGTCCCTGCAGAGCGACCCTGGGCCAGGGTCTGCATCAAGCTCTACCGTGCTGAAGGCCTGCCCAGCATGAGTGCAGGCATCATGGGCGGATTCTCCAAGATCATAGGGGAGAAAAAAGTCTTTATTGATCCATACGTGCAGGTCTCATTCTGTGGTCAGCAGGTGAGTCTGCTGTGAGTCTCCTGAGGTGTGTGGTGTTGGATAACTAATATCTGGATGAGAAGCTATTTATGGGCCCCTACCTCTGCAGGGAGCTGCACACAGTGCAGACCAGCCCTGTGTGCAGCCACCAGCAACACTACAGCTTCCCTTGATGAAGTGCGGAGAGCAATAGCTAGGAACATGAGCAGGGACCCTGTCAGAGGTCCAGAGCCCGCCCAGCGCTCTCCACAGGCAGGGCAGGGGCACATGCCATTCCCAGAGAGGCTCTGAGGGTCCTTTGCTCCTGCCGCTGGTTGGGGCTGTGCAGTTTTCACACATCCTCTTTCCCAGGGGGAAACATCAGTGGAGAGCAGCACCACTGAGCCTGAATGGAACGAACAGATCAGCTTCATCGAGATGTTCCCACCTCTTGCCAAGAACATAAAAGTCCAGGTTTTGGATGATGCCAACGTTGGTGATGTGGCCCTTGCTACGCATTACATTGACTTGCATCAGATCTCGGATCCAGGCAGGAACGGTGAGAGCAGGCAGGGCTGTTCCCCTAGGTCAGGGCAGTGTAGTTGGCCCTGTGCTCTGCACCCTTTGTTTAGACCATATTGGTCTCCTGGAGGTGGAAAACGGGAGCGTGTCTGGCCAGAGCATGCTCACATTTGTTTGTCCTGGGTTATCTTGGGGGAAAAGCTCTTCTTGCAGTAGCACTCTGTGCTGAAATTAGACCCTGGCCCTGTCACTGCAGGCTTTAACCCCACATTTGGCCCGGCCTGGGTGAACTTGTATGGCTCTCCCCAGAACTCGGCTCTACGGGACATCCACAAGGACCTCAACGAGGGTATGGGTGAAGGGATCTTCTACCGTGGGCGCCTCCTCATGGCCATCACGGTGGAGATCTTCAGCAGCCCCAGTGTGGCAGAGGGGAGGCTTGCCGACAAGACAAAGGGTGCCCTAAGCAAGCTGAAACTGAAGAAGAAAAGTAAAAAATCCAAGGAGAAAGCCAAAGAGCTGATCCAGCTTCAAGGAGAGGAGGAGGCTGGGGGCTCTCTGGAGGCTGAGCAGCCTGGGGAAGTCACTGTGGAGGTGGAGGAGCTCCATCCGCTCCCTGAGGTGAGTCCCCTGCAATGACATGGCCAGACCCATGCCTACCTGTAGCATATGCAGTCCTCACGTTGCAGATGCATTGTGATCACTCACCAGCGTGCCAGAGCAAACCTTGCCTGCCCATTGCTGGCCATCCACTGCTCTGTGAGCTTCTGCAAGGCCCAGCCTGCATTTGCAGCCCCAAAACTTCATCCCCAAGCAAACCTGAAGCATCTCCATGTAGGCAACCTTCCTGCTGCAAGAAAGGTTGCTTGTGTGGGTGCAATCCCCAGGACACAGCCTTTGAGCATGCACTTTTCCTCCCCTGGAGCCAGTGAGCTGTTAGCTAGCTCTGGGTCTCCACCGGGCTCAGGAATGGCAGGTGAGCGAAAGCTGAACGTGTTGTTTCTGTAACCATCCCATAGTATCAGCCTCCCAAATCTCTGAGGAAGCCCCGCTGCTGCCCCTGCCCACACTTGGCACAGCAGTGGTGGCCCTATCTGTGTCCACCAGCCATGCCCTGGTGCTCTCTCAAGCTCTGCTGAGATGATGTCCTGCCATGGTGCTGAGGCTGTTGTTCTGATCCCTGTCTCCTTGCTCAGAACGCATTGGGAAGGAAGGAGGAATTCCTCCTCTTTGCTGCCTTTTTTGAAGCCACAATGATGGACTCCTCTCTCGGCTCCAAGCCTGTCAGCTTTGAGGTATCCATAGGTGCGTAATCCCTAGCACCCCATGTTCAGGAAAACACAGTGAATCTCCCTGAGCCAGCCTAGGTCAGCACTGCATAAACTGGCAGCCCTTGCATAACGTGTGTTTTAAAAACAGCAGTTCAGGAAGGAGGTGGGATGGGGCCTGGGAGTGAGTATGGTGTTTTAATGAACTTTGAAGTCTGGCTATTTCTTCTGGGATTGAAGATTTGCAGTATTTGTATAAAATGCCTGTCTGGGGTGTGTGGTCAAGGCCCTCCTGAGGCATGGTGGTGAGAAGCAGTTGGCTTTGGGACAAGAGAAGAAATCAAAGGAGAGGAAGATGAGATATGGGAGGTGGGCATGTGGTGCTGAGGAGCTGTGACAGTGGCAGGAGAGCAGGTTCCAGACCCCACCTGCTGAGCTGGAGGGAAGATGCTTGAAGCACAGCAACCTCCCTGAGAGCCTGTTGCTGCCCCAGCAGAAGGAAGGTTGATGGGCACTCAGTGGAGCTGGTGGAACTCTCAAACCTGTAGAAGAACCTCTTTGCGATTCCGTCTCTCAGACTTTTGGGTTGTTCATGTGATACTTTATGTGTTAGAGGGGGCAAGGCTGCAGTTTCTGTTCCCATATGCGTCACTTGGCAAGATGATTGCACTCTGATTTTGCAAGCTGTAGCAAGTGCACTGCTTGTTGTTTAACACTGATTCTGTTCACCTGTTTATTGCTTAATGCTTGTCTTCAAGGAAACTATGGCAAAGCAGAAGAGGTTGTGACTAAAGTACCTAGAAAAGGGGGGAAAGGAGAAAGGAGAGAAGAAAAACAATCACTGCTGGACCAGAGTTCAGACAGTGAACTGGATGTTGAAGTCCTGGTCCCCACTTCAGCAGCACGAAACAAATCAGTGACAATAAGTCAGAGACCAGAACCTATGGAGTATGATAGGTGAGACTTCATCTTCTCTCTGGCATGGCCTGCTACTGAAGGCTTCCCAGGCTTGTTGCTCCACATATTATTAGCGGGCTGCTCAGTAATCCAAGTGCTGTGTAGGTGTTTCTCCTCTCTACCACCCTGCAGCTTGGTAAGGCCTAGCTGACTGCCATTGCCCATTAGCCCTATGGGCCATATGGTCTGCAGGTGGCCAAGGACAGGGTCTTGGGTCTGCACTGATGGTAGAAGTCCTGTTTCTGATAAACAGTCTGCATCCCAGGAGCTCAGTACCAGGGAGGAGAAAGGATGGGCGTGCTTTGGTGCCTGTTGTCCCACCTCACAAACAGCACCTGTAACTTCCCGTGCCTGCTACCCTTAGGTCCTACAGTTGCCTGCCCATGGCACATGAGAAACCCTGCGCGTATGTGTGGAGCTACTGGGAGGATCACACCTGGAGACTCTGCAATTCCAACTGGATTGTCAAACTGGCAGAGCGCCTGGTAGTGTTTGCGGGGCATGGGGTAGCTCTCTGGGACGCAGTGCTTCCCATTGTGCTGGCTTCTCTTGCAGCATGAGTGAAATGCTGGCTTGAGACATCCTTGTCTTTTACATACTTCACTCTAACCCTGCAGCCAGCCTCTGAAACCTGTGCTTTCTCTGCAGGAGCAGGGGCTAGATGATGTGGAGAATCTCATGAGAAGGCCAAAGGCTAAAGGAGAAGAAAGATTACGAGAGGTGCTGGAGGAATTTGTAGCTGGGTGCAGGTTAGCATGTTCCTGTTTTCCTAGCATTTCTTATCCTGAGTTTAGGAGGTTGTATCATGTCCTGCCTGGACTGTGCACAGCCTGTCCTCTTGTCCTCTTGAAGAGGATGAGTAGGAGGAAACCAATCTGATTCTCTGCAAGCTCAGACAGGAGATCACGGTCCTGAGAAGCACAGTGGGAACAGAACGCAGTCTCATGATGTTCCTGAACTGGGTGTTCTCCCAAGTATTAGGACTTTTTCTTCACTCTCTTAAATCACTTAGACAAGAGCTGAGACTGCTCTTCCACTTTTCATAACTGTCTGGTCACAGAGCTGTGCCGTTTGCAGGGTGCAGAGCCTGAGCTGCTTTTCTTATTACAGGCATTATTCCCTCAATGCAGAGAAAAAAAACATGGCACATCCAAACAACCTTGACAGATGTCGGGCAAAACACGTCATGCACAACATTGTAAGTTGTGAAACGTGGTGGTGATGGGGAGGTAGTATGATCCTTGCTCTGGGAAATGGGGTGGAGGATGACTTAGGACTGATGGTAAGAGGGAAACTTGGAGCTAAGACCCACAGTGTCAGTCATAGGCTTTTACTGTAGTATCTCCCACCCCTGTTCAGAGTAATATAGCTTCCCCCAGAATATCCAGGCACTATCTTCTGAAAAAATTTTTCTTTATATGCCTCTCTGCTCCAAATGAGCATTTATGGACTTCTATTACTGACTGATATCAGCAGAGATAATAACTCAGTGGAGTCTTTGGTTCTTGGCACTCTTAACTAAAAGCTTCATTCTGGATTCATAAAGATTAATTTTCAGCAGCTAGCAAGTGAGTCATGATGGAGGTAAGGGCCTGATTGAGCAGGATGGATGTGGTCAGTGTATGGATACCTCCCAGGGCAGCCCCATGAGGCATGTGAGTGTGACAGGCGTGGGTTAAGGCCAGGCAAATGATGTCCTTGCTCTCTGTTCAGATCCTATATGCGAAACAGGGGCTCCGTGTAAGGAGGCGACTAACTCGAACCAACATCAAGGAGAAGGTTAAGGAGATGAGGAGAATCCTGGCAAAGCTACGTTTCTTGGCTAAAGAGGTACAGCCGTTCCCAGGGTGTCCTGCTCCCACAGAGGGGCTGCAGGTGGTCTGCCTGGGAAAAGAGCCTTGCCTGCGCTCTAGACTCCCAGCAGGAACCAATGCTGGACACGTTCTGCAAACCCAAAGTTGCATTAAAATAACAGGGATTCTCTGTGATAAAAGTTTCTCTGGTTATATTTTAAATAACTATGAAAAACAAATGCTTTAGTTTATTGTAAAACAGTGAAGTTAAATCAACAACCACTAAGTGAAGTTAAATCATTATGAGCAAGAGTTCAGTTGTAGTCACCCAGGTTGTGCTTTGCATGGCTGCAAGGTGAGTAGTATCACACCTTTAGGTATGCGAGTGTAGGCTTCAGCACAAACCAGACTTTGCCTCTGCCACTGTCAAGAGGAGCTGTCCCCTGGCTCCAGACTGCACGGGTCTGGCTGCAGCTGATCCCAGAGCTGGAGAAGAACCACCTCCCACTGTTAATGACATTGCAGTGTCATTAAAATACTTGCATCTTTTGTAATTATTTGCAAGTTTGTGCCTAGATCACATCACACTTCTATGGTGTGTACTTGCTTAGAGGACTCTAGCTTGTCCTGTTGCCTCTCTGTCCTACTGAAAACAGCTTACTCTTGTGCTGAAAGAGCTATGTTTGTAGGAAATTGTCTACACAGTTTGTGCTGGAAGCCTTAACAGCTCCCCACAGAAGTACAAAACACTAATGACAGGGGAACTGAGAGTGGGAAGAGAACTTTATCCAGTGTGTATGTGTGTGTATATAGATATATATACACATTAAAAAAAAAAAAAACCTATTGGTATTGCTTCCATCTGTGTGTCTGCTTCATTGCAAGTCCCCCTTTGAATCCAAACGCTGCAGCTTTATGTTAGGCACTCACACTGTGGGAATGACCACGATTGCCTTTCCTTAATTTGGATAAGCAGTTGGGCCCCTGTCAAAGGTGTGGGTGAAAATATTACTACTCCAGTATTAACAGGGCTGTCACTCTACTTGGTGGGATGGGAGTGGGTGCACCCTGCCTTGGTTTTATAATGAAAAACAAAGTGTTTCACAAATATTTCCAGACCCATGGTCGGGAGCTATTGCAGAGCCATACTGCAGAGCTGAGATATGCAGAAGCCCATGTCCAGCGTTAGGCACCATCATTTGCAACTGGATATCCCAAGTGCTGCATAATGAGCTGTTCTCTGTGAAGTGGGGGAGGCTTGTGCTGTCAATGTCAGTGGAGAGATGACTGGCTATGTGATCTTCCTCGGCTGTGAAGCTTTCCCTTTCCTCCCTTCTAGCCCCAGGGTACCCTCCCCGATGTTCTCGTCTGGATGCTCAGCAATAACAAGCGCATAGCGTATGCAAGAATTCCTGCACAGAACGTCCTCTACTCTGTTGTCGAGGAGGAGAAAGGCAAGGACTGTGCAAAGATCCAAACTGTCTTTTTGAAGGTAGAGTTTGTAACAAAATAGTGTGTTCCTGCCTGCTTCATGCTGCTTCTCTCTGCCCACTTCCAGCCTTCCTTCCTGGCATTTGCAGGGAAATGCAGCTCTTGTGCTACCGTTGCCCTGTGCTCTGCGTATGGTTGCTGGCTGGTGGCAATGGTCGCAGTCTGAACAGGGCCTTGCCAGGCTGGGAAGTCTGCTTAGCCTCCTGTGCTCACAGGTGCCTGGCTCACACGCTGGCGAGATCTTTGCCAAACTGGAGATCTACATGTGGCTTGGGGTGACCAAATATGCGAAGAACTGCACAGTGGAGTTGCCCGAGGAGTTCAAGCATCTCTCAGCGAGTGGACAGGAGATGGCCCAGCTCTCGGCATACGTTCCTCCCAGCCAGCTCAGCAGGGATGGTGAGTGCAGACTCCACCGATGCCGTTTGCTTGAATGCAAGCAGGAGAGCAGAGTGACCTGTTAATCATCTCCATGTCATCTCCAAGGCATGGCCAGGACAGGCAGGTCCATTTTACTCTGGTGAGGATGTTTTGCCAGGCTCACAGCTGGAGCAGCAGACGGGAGGGGAGCTTTGTAGGTGCTGAAGGTGCTACCCAACTGAGTGTGCTGCACAGCTCACCAGGGCCATGAGGTCTGACACAAACTCCATGGCATTTGCTGAGATTTGTTGGTGCTCCCCAAAAGCAGATGCTCACAGCAGGTCACCACACAGTTCACATGTCGTGTCTTTCCTGAGGAAATCTGGGGAGCCTGCTAAGCTTGTCTTCCTTGACTGAAGCTTTTGAGACATGCTGGTGTGAGAACTGCACCGATTATCTCTAAAAGTGGTGTCCACCTCTTGCAAGTTGTGCCTGCTCTCACCTGACTGAGTCATGCTTTTATTTATTCATTTTCTGGCTGATGGCAGGTGAGGCAATGGGGATCTCTCCTTTTTCTCTTACCAGACTTCAGCTACTTCCAACTTCGAGCCCATCTGTATCAGGCTAGAGGGATCCTCCCTGCAGATGACAACGGCCTTTCAGATCCATTTGCAAGAGTGATATTTTCAACTTATTGCCAAACGACCAGGGTGAGACCCCTTAACAGCCCTTGGAGACAAATTACCATGTCCTCACTTCCATGTTGAAAGCCAGTGCTGTGGCAGTCTTCTGGGAAGGCTCATATCTCCAGATGTAGAGGCATCTGTGTGTTCTGAGCAGTGTAACTACACTCAAGAAGTATTTGACAAAACATATATATCATTGAACATGGTCTCAAAGGTTGATTGGCCTGTGTTAGTCAGCCCTGACTGTTCTTACTGTTCTCTTGCCATCTCCCCTTCTGCAAGACACTGGCTGTGTGCGGCTGATGGGGAAGAAATCTGCTCAAGTTTTCCTCGCTGTCTTTCCAAAGCAAACTGGATTTGGTTCTACTGGCTGTGGAACCTCAGGCCTATCTCTACTTGCAGATTTTGGAGGAAACACTGAGCCCAATGTGGAATGAGCTACTTTTGTTTGACCAACTCATTATTGATGGGAAAAGAGAGGAGCTGAAAACAGAGACTCCTATTGTTATAGTCAATCTCTTCAACCACCACAAATTTGTAAGTATGACCATGCCTCCATCCTGCTGCTGTTTCTAGGACAGGGAAGGCAGAGGAGCTCTGTAGGATTCAGTGAGCAGGAACTCAGAGCCACACAGAGCCCTGTGACTTAGCCAGAATCCTGCTGATTGGTTAGTCTTGAAGACTATGGTTGAGGCTGAGAATTTTTGCAGACTTTTGCTATGGGCTTGAGGTGAAAGTGTCAGGGTGCAAAATGAGTCAGGGGCTGGTGAGAGCTGAGTGGGTCTCAGATTTCCCCCCTGGAGAAGCGCTGCGCCCTTCTGGCAGTGGTGGGTTCTCTCTTGGGCACGACCCACTTCCTTGGCAGGATTATGTCAAAAAGGTCTCATAGCCACAGGGAGATGGAGTAGTTCTTGGAGCTGCTCTTACACCTCCACTGCTCCCAGGTGTCATCTCCTGTCTCTCCTCAGTTTGCCCCATTCCATTCCATAGGTACTTTGAAGTCACACTCATCTCCTGGACTTTATTTTCATCAGGAGAAAGGCATAACTCACACTGAACTCTCCTGTGTAGTTCAGCAGCTCTATTGAGTCCAGTGTGGGCTCACTCTGCAAGCCAGATGGTGACATACGGGAGCGAATTCAGTGAAGGCCACTGAGACAAACGGGTGCTTGAGCACTGGATGTGCAGGAGAGGTTGAGGGAGCTGAGTCTGTACAGCCTGGGTGAGAGGAGAGGAAAGGGACAGCTTTTTGCTGTCTGCAACTGCCTGATGGGAAAGTGTAGAGAAGAGGAAATCAGACTTTTCTTGGATATATACAGGGACAGGATGACAGGCAATGGGCACAAACTGGAACAAGGGGAAAAACAGCTTGGTATAAAGAAATAATTTTTCATCTTGAGGGTGATCAGACTCCAAGCCAGAGGCCCAGAGAGGTTGTGGGATCTCCATCCTTGAGGACATTCAGACCTCAACTAAAAGTCATCCGAGCAACCTGGTCTAGCTTTGAAGTTCTCTGGTGTGTGATTTCAGCCCATTCGCCCCGTTCTCCACAGAGATGACTGTGAATTAAGAGTTGTTCCTGCAGTCACTTCCCATCTGCTCCTGGCTCTGGATGGAGCAGAGACAGTCAAAACAGAGGACTGTAAGGGTGAAAGAAAGGTCTTCTGTTGCCCCAGGTAGCTGGAATTAGCAGTGATTTTTTTTTTCTGATGTGGCGATATAATGCAGGGCTACTTTGACCTTCTCTCTCCTTTCTGGCAGGGCTCCTCTGAGTTCCTTGGCCAGGCATTTGCCATCCCTCAGGTGAAGCTGCTTGACGAACCATACAGCAAACCTGCCCTGCAGTTCTTCGATTTCTACAAAGGAACCAAAGCAGCAGGGGAGCTCATCGCCACTTTTGAGTTGATTGAATTGGATTACAGTGGCTATTTGGAGGTAACAGACTTCTAGGAAGCTATATACTGTTGGTAGCTTCCCTGGAAGAGCTATTCAGGGTGAGATGCTGGTTACATGAGGCCAAGTGGAAGAATCTCTGTTGAAAGCCCTATCTGGCTTTCACTTGAAAGGAGAATGCATAGGCAGAGCCTTGGGCACTAGGGGAAGGAGGACACGGCAGGGAGTAGAAACAGCTTTCATGGTTTTGTGTGTCCTGGCTCTATCTGTTCAGCCAGCAGTGCCTGAAGACGTGGAGCCCAAGGAACCTGGCTTCCTGGGAGACCCCCGAACTGGACGGTTCATCATCCCTGAGGGCATCCGCCCGGTGTTGAAGGAGTTTCGCATAGAGGTGTGCCACTTTCTGCCAGACTGGCTCTCAGCTGAGCTGAGCTGTCCCCCCTGCACAGACAGCAGTGCTTGGGGACAGAGCCGGGGGCTTGGGACTCAAATGTGCCTCTGAGGTCAGAGCAGGTGCTAGATACGGAGGGTGCTTGACATGAGGTTGAAACCTTTCTAGTGCCAGAACTCTTGTAGTTATCCCACAGCATGAGCTTGGATTCTGGGTGGACAGGTTGTCATGAGGTGCAGCTTTCTGTCTCTCTGGGAATCCATGTCAAGTGGGGCAGATGGGTTGGCAGCAGGCTGGAGGAACCTGGCATCATGACATTGCTGGACAGGGGTGCAGACCACATAGCCTGCCCCATCTGGAGTGGCTGAACAGCTCTGTGTGCTTCAGATCCTGTTCTGGGGCCTACGGGACCTGAAGCGAGTGAACTTGTTCGAGGTAGATCAACCTCAGGTGATCATCGAATGTGCTGGGAAAAAAGTGGAGTCAGAAGTTATCATTGCCTACAAAGAGAACTCCAACTTCACTGAGCTGGTCAAGTACATGGACGTGGTGAGTGAGAATGGCATTGGCTGACCCTGTGCACAGTTTGCCCGTGCAGGGCAAGGGTACTGAAGGGAGCTGCCTCCAGGTTTGTGCTCTCCCAGTGGCTTCCTTCTCTTAGGGCCAGATGGGTCAGCTGTGGATCAAAACATTTGTGAAACTGTCCATTCAGAGCTGCCTTAGCTCTGGTCCTTCACCAGTGAAGTGCTGGTTTTAGGGAAGAGCCATGAGGTTCTGTCAGACCTCTCAGTTGCAACATGGCCACAGTGAGTATTGACCTTGTTCCTACAAATCCTCCATGTGGTTCTTCTGCAGGAGCTCCCAGAGCAGGTCTACCTTCACCCTCCCCTCAGCATCTTTGTAGTGGAAAAGCGTGCTTTTGGGCGCACTGTGCTGGTGGGGACCCACATTGTGTCCAACGTGATGAAATTCTCTCCCAGAGAACTCGAGGAGGCGCTGGAAGATGAACCCAAAGGTAAGCTGCTTAGTGAAAAAACTCTCATGTTTAGGACAAGTATTAAAGGCCTAGTCTGAGAGATGCAAAATACCCAGCAAAAGCATGTGACAGGAGCAGGGTTAGAGGTGGATTGTGCTCCTCACTGTGAATAGGTCTACAGCATTTTTTTTGGGGGTGTCTGAAGCCAAACAATAAAGTTAAGGGTAAGTTGGTGTCTCCCTTTGGGGCTTGGGGTGGTGTGACTTTTTTCTCTAACTTTACCTTATTATTTGCCTCCCCATCACATGGACACTACTCCAACCTATGGACATGACGTTTCTTCATGATTCTTTCCTAAGTACTATTTGTCTCGTATATGCAGAAACCAGAGAAAAGGGCACAGCTCATGGAGATGTCTCAGACCAGCAAGTCATTTAGCTGGGGGTTAGGTATTAGACATAAAGGTCACACAGGGGTAAAATATTGTCTAGGGATGTTCAGACCGAGAAAGACTGTTGTAATCATCTATGTCAACCTTCTGTGTAACCAGGTTAGAGAGCAGTTCCCAGTGATACCTCCATGAAGCTTTAGAGAGTGTGAGCTGGTCCACTAGAGTTGAAGGTTTCCAGTTCTCTCACACACTTGGTCAAAGACTTTTTGTTGAATAATGGAGTCTATAAACAGGTCACGGGTAGCAACAGCTAGAGCTCCTGGTCTGAGAGCGTGTAAATAAGCATGGCATGAAGAGGAAGAAGCAAAGGACTGATCTGTGGTGATTTCTGAATGCAGAAGTTATAGCTCATAAATCAAAGTTCTTGGAAGCTAACAACAGGAATATGGATGGCAATGGTTGCATCTCAGCACTGTACTTGGATTTCCAATAATCTTTTGTCAGACTCTGTTAACAAAAACTGTAAAAGCAACTGCACTGTAGTGAGGGGTAGGAGGGAAGGTTTTCCTGTGGATTAATAACAGGTCTAGGAATAAGAAGCAGTGAGCAGAAATAAATGCATGGGAATGTGAAGCTCTCACTCTCTATTTCAGCTCAGAAAGTCTTGTCCCGGCCACTGCCCTCTCAAGCTGGTGACCCACGTCCCAGCACTCTCCCTCTGAGTCTTGTGAAGGTGAGTGGTGTGTTGAGCCTGCCAAATTTTGAAGTTTGGAAACCTAAACTGAAGTTTAACAAACAAAGAATAAAGTTCAGAAGTTCAAAGCTAAGTTTTGAGAACTGTTTTTTTGCTCTGGGCCCAAATACTTCTCTTTCCCCGCCTATCTCATGGAAGAGCTTCACATCCACTTTTGCTGCTTCTTACCATTGATGTGTTTCTGGACTGTAGCACAGGGAGAAGAACGGTGTTGCTTTCTGCAGTGAATGCTGCTGCTTTGAGAGCAAAGTCCAAACCTAAGGCTACAAGTAATTTTATATCTCCTGTGCTCTGAGCAAAAGCTGAGTCTCTGGTGGGAGTTCTCAAGCAATAGTGCAGCCACTAGTGTATGGGGTGTGTGTGTCCTGCGTATTCAGTTCCTCACTCTGAGCCCTTTGCTTTTTCTTTTAAGGCTCCTTTGAAGAAAATTCCTATCAATAAGCTTATAAAGAAAAACAGTGGATATGAAGAGGAAAAACCAGAGTTGGAAGAACTGGACTGGTGGTCCAAGTACTATGAGTCCTTAAAGGAGCTCAGTAACCAGGTAATGTCTTGTGATAGTTGTCAGCGTAATGGAAAAGCGGCCACACTGGTTTGAGGAAGATGTTTTCAAAACCACTAATTGCCATGGGAGTCCTTGTGGGTCTGCAGTAAGACATGGGCTTTTATGTATCAGACATACTTAAGGTAGTCAGCTATCAATCATGCACCAAATGGTCTGATTTCAGCGAGCAATGGCTGCTGAAACATCCTTAAGGATAGGGGTTTGAATGGTTTTAAAAATGGGGCTGGGGTCTTGAATTGCTTAGGCACTCCTGAAAATATGACTGTTGATTTTAGCTGCATTGCAGGGCTCTGTACTGGTTACTCTCTGAGCATCTTCCGAGGGTGGGCCATGGGGGTGTGATGTAGCCTGCACTGCAGGTCTGCAACAAATCTCAAACCCTTGCTTACCCTCTGCCAGACTAAATCTCAACTAAAAATCCAGCAAGATTTTTAGCGCTGAGGAGAGAAAAAAAAAAGATGTGTAATCGAAGTGTGTCATTAAGGCACTCATTGGATGCTCTCCAGAATAATGCTAATGTTCATAGATCTTCGGATATATCTTAATAAATCTGCCAGAAGGAAAGCTTTAGAGGAGTTGTTTGCTTGGAAGGAGAAGTATTTGCTCTCTGAAATATGGTGTAACTCTTTGTGTGTGTGTTTCAGATGCACAGTGATGAGGAAGATGCTGAGAATGATGACCTTAATGATGCAGGTGAGTTCTCTGGCACTACCTAGCTCTTCTGTGCTCCCGGGAGCTAAGAATAACAAAAGCTTTACATAGTCCTAGGTGGTGCTGCACTTAAGGAAATGGTATCTGAGCAGGATATTTCTCAATCTCCTTTTGCCATTTTCAGATGGAGGAAATTTAAATGCAGCCTCTATTGACATAGAAGCAGAAGAGGAGGCAGTAATTGAAGCTGAACTAACTCGACCCAAGAGGAAACACATTGCCACACTTCAGGTGGGTTTGAGGTGGCAGATCAACTCCAACCTTTTACCCTTGTCCTCCTCACCTTCCTGCACTGAGTGTTGTACTGAGATGGAGACCCTGACCCAGTAGTATGCCCTGAACTCCATCCTTGCCAGACTCTGACACAGCTAGTGGGACCTCGGAGCCAAGGCTTATAACAGAGGGACTTGTGATTAAAGAGCTGGGATGTTCGTACACATCTGGAAGTGGACATGAGAATGAGAGGAATGAGAGAAACATGTAATGTTATGACTGAATAATACTGGGGCAAGACAGGACCAGTGACATGGTTGAAGCAGCCAGCAGATGGTCTGTGTGAGTCTCCTTTTAAAATGCCAGGAAAAGGCCTCAGATGACTTTCTGTTTATTTCAGATCTACAACTCCGAGCTGGAAAGTGAATTTGATAATTTTGAAGACTGGCTCTGTATCTTTCTCCTCCATCGTGGCAGAACAAATGAGGATGAAGATGGGAATGAGGATGAACATTTTGTGGGGAAGTACAAGGTATTATACCATTTGAATGGTGTTTGTACCACACATGAAAGAAAATCTTTAGGGCAGCCTGTATCTCAGCATTCAGACACCAGCAAAACCTTGAGAAAGGGCAGGTGTGACAAGGTGATGTGAATGTGCAGTGAGGTATAGTTAGGGTACTGTCAGGTACTGCTAAGTTATGTGCTGAGATCCCTTGTTAGTGGATAAATGCACCTGATTTAGATTTTTCTACTCTCAAAAAGCATCAAGGGACTCTTGTCTTAGTGGGGCTCCTGAGTACATTCAGTACTCAGCTAACTGTTAGTAAGCTTCACTTGCTTTAAAATTAGTAAAACTTTTCTACAAAAAGCATAATTTAGGGTCTTTTTGAAGAACCTAAAATAGAGCTACAGAATGTGAGTTAAGAAGTTGCTTAAAAAAAAATCCATTCCTTGGGCAATCCAGACAGGTGCTTAGAGATACTAAGTTCTCCTGGTGTTGACAGTGGTCTGAGGGCTTGCAGGATAACCTACTAGTAGCGAATACTTAGCCCATGTGGACCTTGGTGTCTTTGGATAGAGATGTCATGATGAGCACAGGGTACCTGTGGTTCACATGGCACAATGGCTCTGATTTCTCAGTATGAGAGGTTTTCTAAGATGTTTTCTTCTGTATCTTGTTGTTACCCATGGTATCTTTTCTGCAGGGCTCCTTCCATGTCTACCCTACTGAGGAAGCTGGCACAGAGCACAGAATCTCCCAGGGCATTCCAAGGAACAGACCCATCAAAGTTCTCGTAAGAGTTTATATTGTTAAGGTAAGTCTCTTGTGGTGGTGGCAGTAATACCTGGAAGTCTGTCTTTACCTAAGACTCTCCTGCCATTTTTCACTTGGGTAAAGTGACCAGTGGCCCCAGTGGCCCTGAGCTACGGCAAGAGCTGACATTCATGTCTTGTCCATGGAAAGAAATGGAGAGTTCCTCAGGTGTTGTAGCTTCAGGGCTTGCTGAAAATTCAGGCTAAGTACTTCTCAGCTTCTCTCATCTGCCTTGAGATAGTGAACTGGGAAGCGAGTAGACAGGATAACAGTTAGAAACATTGGTGGCCTTTTAACTGCAACAAATGTCAGATTCCTTGCTGGGACAACTGTTGGCCAGCTCCAACCACTGGCCTTGGAGGTCTCAGGCCTATGCAGGGTGGCCTGTGCACTTTGCTCTCTGCAGATATTGCAGAACCTCTTGTGTATTCCAGGCTACAAACCTGTCTCCAGCAGACCCCAATGGCAAGGCAGACCCTTATGTGGTGGTGACGGTGGGGCAAGAGCACAAGGACACGAAGGAGAGATACATCCCAAAACAGCTCAATCCTGTATTTGGCGAGTATGCAGGAGATTTTCTTTTAGTGTGTTGAATGGGAATGCAAATCTAGGGCTCACACTGTGGCCGCTCATGTGGGATCTTCAATACTTGTTTTTGTCTGGAGAATCCTGTTCTGTTACACACAGATCATAAGCTTGTCTCCAGTGTCTGGCTGTGAGAGGAGCCATAAGTGTTTGGGCTGAGGGAAGCAATTTCAAGGGCTTGATTTACCAAAGCAGGAAGACAAGTAGCAATAGAGCTTTGGAGAACTCTTTCTCCATGCAGGATCTCTATGCAAGAGTATATGCTTTTGAATTTTTTTTAAAAAAAACAACCAACCAAACAAAAACTCTTATTTTGAACAGACAACCTCAGAAATTCATACCCTGAACTTATGGAAAGGAAATCTCTATCAGAGTCCCTTGGGCTGGGATACAATTCTTAAATGTGTAAAATGATCAAAACAGAGCATATGGTTCATTTCCTTCTTCTTTGCTAGTCACATTTTTCCCCATCTACTTCTATCCAGAGTTGTGGAGCTGACGGTCTCCTTTCCCATGGAATCAGAACTCACTGTAGCGGTATTTGACCATGACCTATTTGGATCGGATGATTTGATTGGGGAGACCAAGATTGATTTGGAGAACCGATTCTACAGCAAGCACAGGGCCAACTGCGGCGTGGCTTCACAGTATGACACGTAAGTACTGGAGTGACATGTTAGACCCATGAGGCTGTTCCTCTTGCTTGTTGTTTAGGTTGCTTTCAGACTGGCAGGACGGAACTCTGCTAATGTTACATTGCAAATGTTAACACTGCCTTACAAACTATTTAGAGACTTTTGAATCAACCATGGTCTGACTCCATCAATCAGATTCAATGTCCCTTTGAGCAGTGAAAACCAATGTGTAAGGCAGGAGCAGGGCCCTTTCAGTGCAGGCCATAGGCTATTGCAAATGAACTGGAGCAGCAGTTGCATTGCAATTACCTGGAGCATGTGCTGGAGTAGAGGCACTACAGGAGACTGGAGTAGGTGATAGGTCTTTCTGGCTGTGTTCTACTTCCTCCTGCTTTTTCCCATCCTGTTTTTCATGCCCATAGGTGCAGGACTGAGCCTTATTTCATTGAGGGTTCTGATGGATTGTGTTTACCTGGGGCTGAAAATTGCAGCATTTTTTGAGCCAGCTTGGCAGATCTGTTGTCCTTGTGCAGTGAGGACAACAGCTAAGAGAAGGGCTGAGTGAGTGGCAGGAACTACTTGCAGTCTGCTCAGTGCATCTTAGAGCCAAACTCCAAATACCATTGTTATTTCGGAACAAAGCAGAGTAACTTTAAAATGAGACTAGTAGTACTAATTCAAGACAAAGATCCAGGAAGGCGTTTTTTCCAGGGAGTGGGTTCTGGCACTCCAGCTGTGCTGACCCCTGCAGTCTTCCCAGATAAGGAAAACGTGACTGCAGCCTCCTCAACAGGAGGAATAATAAGTCATCTGTAAGTGGATTCACAGAGGAGGACAGAGCAGACATTCATCTCCACTAAGATACTTAGCAGTCAAGTATTCCAGGTCAGGAGGTTTGCTGAGGCTGTTATGCAGGCTGCTCTTACTTCCAAACTTTTATCCATGCTATCCTTTGAGCAGGCATTCATGTGTTGTATGGGTAACTCCACCTCCTTTAGCGCTTCTGGCTCATACCAGCTTCCTGTGATAGCTCTAATACCACTGTGGACTAATGTATTTTGCATGTAATAGCAAAATATTCTCTCAAAGTGCTGAGCTGTGGAGAAAAATGCTTACATTAATGTAATTTTGATCTCTTTTCTCTAGCAGTGGCTAGTTCTGTCAGTGGCAAGACTTGTGATGTCTTTTTTCCTTTGGTTTTATCCCATATGGATCCTCTTGGGTCTAATAAAATAGCTGAGCAGAATAAAATACTGCAGCTTTTCCTTCCAAGGAAATGCTAACTTAAGTCTCCCATCTCTGTCCACAAAGTTTTTCTCACTGTACCTATGGAACAAAATGCAACTGAGTTTTGTTTATCAATTTTTATTGGAACTTGCCCAACAAATGGAAAATAAGTGGGAGAGCTGGGAGACCGACTGGCAGACTTCTGACAGCAAATTTGCATGCACCTCATTTCACTAGACAACCAAGTGAGGGATCACTCATATTTGGAGTAAATTTAGACCTGTTATCACTGTTTTTAGTGGCTGTTGTACACCATCAAAACTTAGACCTGTTTTTTTTGGAGGAACTTACTTAGCCTCCTGCAGTGGATCCACCATAAGATAATGAAGCAGCTGAAGTGCTGGCAGGCATGGGGCATATTGTACCTTGGTCTTTGGGCACGCTTTTGCAAACAAGCCCTCTATGAGGAATATTTGTTTTGCCTAAAATGAAGACATTCTCTCTTCCCTGCAGAAGTGGCTATAACATGTGGCGAGATGCTTTCAAGCCTACACAGATCTTGGATAGTTTATGCAAGAAGAACTCACTCCCTGCAGCAGAATATAGACGGGAGGAAGTCAAAGTGAACAACCAGGTCTTCAAGATCCCTCCAGAAGCTTTTCCTGAAGGTGCAGAACACACTGAGAACCTCTAGCGCTCCCTTAAATGGCCATCTGTGCTCAGCAGTGAATAAGCTGATGAACCCACCAGCCTCTTCTCCTCATACAGGGAGGCCAGTTGGGCCATTGGCTCTCACTCTTTGCCTTGTAGGGTCCAGGGTTTGTGGATTGCTGTGAGGAGCACCCACAACATGCTCAGCACTCTCCAGGCTCAGTGATGTTTTTTTGCTTGGTGGTACGCTCTGGTCCTGTCTAGGTATATGGTGGTTGTGTGCTGGTGAAGGATGAAGAAGACTTGTCCTGCTTGTGGATGACTGAATCTTGTGAAGTAGTGCTGCCCATCTTGCCCGGAGATGGGGCATCCTACATATCCTGCCAACTTTCTCTCCCGCCCATTTCAGTGGTGCTGTTCCTCAGTTTTCCACTGACTAGTTGCATGCTTCTGCTGCGCCCCTGCAATGCTTGGGCCTTGACAGGGAAGCTGATCCTTTAAGCACTTTTGTCTCTAATGTTCAGGGGTGTGTTGGAGCCCAACTGGTTCTTAGAGTTGACAGTGGGTGGCTCTGGTTCAAATGAGGCTGTAGTGTCTTGAACTGAAGCTGGTGCTGGGGAATGCTTCACAGTTGTCTCACCTGGTCCTGAGGTTCATCACTCTTTTCCTCAAAGATTCCTTCCTTTCCTCCATACTGCACACTTTCCCTTTATTTTTGCCCTTCTGCTTCTCCCTGTTTTTTCCTTCTAGTAAGGTGCTTACCCAGTCTACTGCCTTCCCCTCCTTGTATCCGCAACTCATGTGTGAAGTAGCTCTGGCTGAACAGCTGTCCTCATCATCTAACTTGTTTTTTCTGCTCCAGAGGCCTTTGTGAGGAATGAGAGAGGAGTGGCAGATGAGAGCTGGTCAGCACATGATGAACATAAGGCTTTGTATGTCCTGCAACACTGGGAAGAGATGCAAGGATGCGGGTACAAGTTAGTACCAGAGCATGTGGAAGTTCGGTCCCTTTACAACCCAGAGAACCCTGGGCTTGTGCAGGTGAGATGTGTCCTTGCCCAATCTAAACATTAATATGGGGAGAAACCTTCTATGCAGCTGGCCCACAATCCCTTGGCCTGACCTCTGTTGTCTCTTGTCTCCTCCTGCCTGTGAACCCTGCAAGCTACTTCTATCTCTGCACAGTCCACCCTGCTAGGGAGCATTTGTCTTGAGTATCCTTTGCTTGGATCCACACTCTGACCTCTCACAATGCTCCTATGCACCCTTCCTTCAAGGGACCTCCGTCCATTGATGCTGTTGCCACCAAGCTGCTGGCCCAGGATCCTTTCTGTCTCCTCAGGTCACAGGGTCCTGTTCTGACGAGGAAACTGTGTATGTGGAAAGAGACCTGCTCTGTCTTCTGGGCTGTACAACCGTGGTGCTTGGTGATGGTACCTGCTTCCTTGGCTGGCACTAGCAGCAGCCTCCCAACCTCTATTTTAAGTTGGGCCTTACTGCCTTGCCTCTTCTTCCACTTTGTTTCCTATCATTGCTTCCTTGCTCTCCTGCAAGTACCCTGTTCTGCTCCCTTGGTGGTTTCTTGCACCCAAGACAAGGTGCAAGGACACCTGGACAGCACTGTTGGTCTTTCCACTCACCCCAGACAGGACCTCAGCAGCTCTGCCAGTGCCTCTGACCTGAGAGCATGTGGTCTGGATCCTGGCTTCCCTGTAAAATTATCAGTTGCTGAATATTCAAATGGCAAAACCAGTTCTCAACCTGTGAACTGAATGTCACAGGGACAGCAGCATCCGCAGAGAGGCCAAAGAGCAGCTCCAAGAGTCTATCAATGGCAAGAGCTGTGTGTTGAACCTTGGCCCAGGGCTCGTCCCCTGAAAAGCGCCTGAAGCTGGAGTGCTGAGATGGTCTGTTTGGTGACAGGTTTGCCCTGGAGCCAGGGTGGACGTGTGATTCGCAGCTTGGAAAACTGGGATGTTTTGCCAGATGATCATCTGGGGATTGTCACTTGCAGGCCTAGGATGCTCCAGGGACATGATGCAACTGCTGCTTGGAGGAGAAACAGTCTTTCTCAGTTTCATGCAGTGTAGCAATTTGAGCTCACCATCTCAGCATCCTGCCCTAACATCTCTTGTTCCCTTGGGTACTACAGATCTGTCACAAATCAGAACTCTGCAAACACACTGGTGTTGGTCAGCAGAGGAAATGCATATGGGGAGGATCAAACCTGTCATCTTACTTTTCTCAGCTATGCTAAAATGTTGCATCTTGGTGTGTTTGTTAAATTGGAGTGAGATGTCTGATGTCTGCTTGTGTTTGAAACAGATTCAGTTCAGCTAAAATATTTTTTTTTAAAATTTTTTTCTTGGTTGGGTGGTGAGGAATAAGCTTTTTTATTATTATTATTAATATTTTTGAGTCCTATCCAAAATCCAGATACGTGGAACTGAAGTGCTGGGACTTCAGCAGGCGGCTAGTTAAAGTACAGCTGGGGTTGAATGGAGCTGAGCTCATGGCCTTTTGTCAAGAGCTTTGCACTTGCTGCAGTCCCTGCTCCTTGAAGAGCTAAGAGGTGGTCTGTCCCTTGAAATGTCACTTCTGTCTTCTCTTGTCACCTTCTCTTGTCAGGGTTCCTTGCACATGTGGATTGACATGTTTCCAAATGACGTCCCTGCACCACCTCCTGTCAATATTAAGCCGCGACTGCCAATCAGGTGACATTCATGGGAGCAGGGCTGGGTCTGGAGGGCTCATGTGGAGGGTCCCTGTGCCTTGTTGTGCCTGACACGATGCGGGGCAGAGTCCTGCACATGCTGGCAGGTCTGTGCTAGCTTGTTTGGACTGTTGGTGTTTGGACCTGTGGGGTTGTAGCCCTTCATTAAAGGCTTTGTGTGAGACTCCTCTGACCCACCTGAACCAGAGGAGCCCTAGGTAGGATCCCATGGGCCCTTTGTGGTAGCTGGGCGTAGATCCTACTTTTCTGCTGGTGTGGGCTTGATCTGTCCAGGCAGGAACTGAAAGAGCGAGCACATGTCTCGCTATGCCTGGTTCCCTCCCACAGCTATGAGCTGCGTGTGATTATCTGGAATACAGACGATGTGATCCTTGACGACATCAACCCAATTACAGGAGAGCCTTCCAGTGACATCTATGTCAAAAGGTTTGACGGGAGCCAGGGGGAGGCCAGAGCCCGGCTGTCCTGTTCCTTGCCCTGACCCATACCCCTCGCTGCCTTTGAACCTCTGCTCCTCCTTGCCTCAGCATAAGGTGACCCACTCCAGATCTCTTACCTGACTGCTGTATCTCCAGAGATGCTGAATAGATGTTGGTACAGCTTGGCTGTCTTCCTTGCCTTTCCTCCCACCCACTGGTGATTTGTTCCCTCTGTTGTTCTGCTCTGTGGTGCTGCCTTTGGGCCTTGATGGGAGATAACGGAGTTCCTCCTGCAGTTGGATAAAGGGGCTTGACCATGACAAGCAGGAGACAGATGTTCACTTTAACTCCTTGACTGGGGAAGGCAATTTCAACTGGAGGTTCGTCTTCCGCTTCAACTATCTCCCAACCGAGAAGGAGATCACCTACAAGAAGAAGGATTCTGTCTTCTCTGTGGAGGAATCAGAGTTCAGGGAACCAGCTGTCTTGGTCCTCCAAGTCTGGGATTATGACAGGATTTCAGCTAATGACTTTCTAGGTATGGTATGATCTGCCAGGACTGGGGTGGCCTTGTCTGTCTCTCCCTTTCCTTAGCCTGTTTGAGCATTGCAGCATTTTGCACTGGGCCAAGCTCTTTGACAAGGGACACAAGCAGTACTGGATTCATGTCTTTGGCTCAGCAGCCACCTGGGCTGGCTTTTCCCATGCAAATGATAGGCAAATTCTGGTGGTGCACCTCTACTCCACAGACACGTGTTGAGCTGTCAAGTTTGTGCCAGAGACTCTTTGTCCTTTTTTGGGATCTGCTACCCTAGGGTCTGCTAGGTTGTCCTTCCTCACAGCCGGCCCAGTGTCCTTCCTATCTCTTTCACAACTGCATTTGCAGTTCCCTTGCTAAAAAGGAGCTGCTCTGCCCTGCTCTTTCCCAGGCAGAATAAAGCTCACTTGATTTATCGTCCCTCCATAGTTCATTCCAAAGGACCTTATTTCCATGAAGCACTAGTAAAGGTGATCTATTTGGTAGTGGTACACAGGGACTGAAGACAGCATAAGACAGCTACCCCAGGGTTTCCTGGACCATACTGTTTCAGAAACATTTAGGCAGGTAGAGACTTTTGTAGATATCCTGCTCCAAGTAGGGGTAGATTGAAAGTAGCTCAGATTCTTCAGTCCTAATCTGAGTAAGCTTTGAATATCTCCAAGGATGGACATCCCAGAACCCTTCTGGGCCCTTGTCCTAGGTCAGCACCATTCTCATTGTGATTTACTGTCCTTAGTTAGTTTCCTTTGCTACAAGTTGTGTCTGTGCCTTCCCATCCTTTCACCATGCACCTCTGAGAAGAGGCTCTAGATGTTCTCTAGCTCCCTCTAGGTTGTGGAAGATACAGTAAAAATCTCTCCTTTATCCTCTTTTGTGAACTGAGCAATCTCCAGTCTCTCAGCCTGTCCTTCTATGGCATGTTCTCCAGCACTGACCACCTGGGCTACTAGACTCTCTCCAGTTCGATGACATTTTTTCTTGTACTGGGGACTTAAAACAGATATAGTCTCACCATTGCTGAGCAGAGGGGAACACCACTTCCCTCAACTGGGGGCTACTTTTTTGTCAGTACAGCTCATTAAGACTAATTTTCTGCAAGGGCTCAGTGCCAAACTGGGATAGCAGCTTCTTCCAAGGGGAACAGAGGTGCAAGACCAAGAATGGTAATGAACCGAGGATGTTGCAGATTTGAACTTTTCAAAGAGTTTTCCAGGTTTTATCATTCCTTATTAAAGTTTGTTTGAATTGGAGTAAAAGGGGAGCTTGGGCCTGTGAGGAGAGCAGGGTGGGACATGACGAAAAAGCAAAAACCTGCTGTATCACAGCTAAGTCAGACTGGCTACATCATAAAATGGAGAGAAAGAGCTGTGACTTCTGCCTCTTAGTATCTAACTCTTAGTCTGGTCCTTGTTGAGCTTCAAGTTCCCCACATGGAACTTGAGTCTGCTAGATCATTGTGGCAGCTGGGACCTGCTAGTGGTGTTGAGAGCACAACCGAGGCAGGAACAAGGCCAACTAGTTTGTAGGACTGGCCTCAGAATTTCACCAGGAGCTCTCCTCTTCTGTGTGCCTACAGGATCCATTGAGCTGAAGCTGCATGACATGGTGCGGGCAGCCAAGAGCTCAGAGCATTGCACCATCAAGATGGCCAAGGAGAATGCCACACCTCGCTTTTCCATCTTCCGAAACAAGCGCATGAGAGGCTGGTGGCCCTTCATCAAACTCAGAGATCAAGAAGATGAAGAGAGAGAGGAGAGGGAGGCCAATCAGAAGAAAAAGAAAAAGAAGAAGAGGAAGTGGAGCAGCTCAGTTAAACCAGAAGATGTTCAGTTCACAGACCCCAGTGGGAACAAGTACCTCCTGACGGTAAGACAAGGTGCTGGCAGAGGTGAGCAGACAGTGTTTCACTTCTGTCCTGACAGAGCAAATATTACTGCTTGCATATTACGTGTCACAGCCAAATCTGGAGAGCTGGAAAGTGCATTGTAAATATAAAACCTTCCTGGAAAACAGGTTCTGTGCAGGCAACAGTTCCTTCTGGTTATGAAATAAGAGATCTCTGTGGCTAATGGCTGCAGATTGCTTGAGCCTCTGTCAGTGGAACTGGGACCTGGCAGGCTGGTCAGTGAAGCAACATAAAGCATGTGGCTTAGGTATGTTGCCCCTTCCAGGGTAAGGTGGAAGCAGAGTTGCAGTTGTTGACTGTGGAGGAGGCTGAGAAAAGTCCTGTTGGTTTGGGCCGAAAAGAACCTGAACCTCTGGAAAAGCCCAAGTGAGTATCCATGTTTATCACCTTTAAAATGGACAGGGTGGGGATAGCTGTATTCTCTGGCAGCTGGCCTTGTGGTAAGAGGGAGCAGGTGAGGAAACCAAGAGCAGAATCAAGAGGCCATGAGCTAAGGGGTTCTGCAAGACTTGGGCTGCAAGTGGGTTCCTGGAGCTTAACTTCATCCCACCAGGTGTTATGGCTGCAGCTGGGCTAGAGCTGATCTCAGTGGACTCAATACAGCTCTACCACATCACTGCCCCTATGAAGGGCAGCTCCAGTTTAATCCACCCTGCAAACATATCCAGACGGCTGTGTGAGTTCAGAACAGCTGTGCTGCAAGCTGTCCTGGAGGCTCAGTGTCTCTAGCACTTTCAAAGGAGCTGTGCTTACTGCATTGGGTATGGAAGAGAGGGGGGTATGAGGTGGGAGACCCCTTTCTCTTCCCTCAGGCAGTGAGATTGGTTAAGGGAGGGAGCAGGCCAGGCCATTCAGCTGCCTGGATGATGCTTTTGTCAAGTAGCTGAAAGACCTGGTGATCCATGGTTGGAGGCGGGACACCATAGCAGATGGGACAACAGAGTACTCTGTGAGTCCCTTGGGTGAACTCTTCTTTTCTCCCATTCCAGCCGACCAAAAACATCTTTCAACTGGTTTGTGAATCCCATGAAAACCTTTGTGTTCTTTATCTGGAAGCGGTACAAGAAATACATCATTGTGCTGTTCATTGCTGCTGTTCTGACCGTCTTTCTGGTTCTTTTGATCTACACCATGCCTGGATACATCAGTGAGAAGATCATTAATGGATAAATGCGCTCTGAAAAGGACTATTCAAAGACATGGCGATTATTGAAACAATCTAGATTGGGTCAGGAAGTTTAATGAACATTTGTAGGTGCCTAGCTAATCTTTGAGATGCTTGGAAAAGTGACCTGTGTTTGGGTAGTTATGTTTCATGCAAAGTATCCATGAGATGTTAAGTTACTTACCAAGTAAGTAACTTACAAGGCAAACTACTTGGAGACCCAGTTACAGCTTTGGAATAAAAGTTGAAGTAGGTGGAAGGGAAGGACTGGAAAACCATGATGGCTGGGGTTAGCCACACAGCCTTGTCACTGGGAGCAGTTCTGGCAAGTACGGTGATACAGAGCTATCTCCTCCCATACCTACAACTTTCACTTATGTTCCAGGGTGGCAGTATTTGGCATGTTGTAGTCTTCTGCCTGAAGAATTCAAAACAGCCTCTACATGTTGTATGTGGAAGAGCAGGTCTTCTATAAAGTCCTAGTGTAGGTGAGACCCAAATGCCCCACCTCTGGAGGGACTTTGAAGTGGACTCCCTGGGGTGCTGCTGCTTGGTGAAGGAAAGAAGGAAAACACAGCTGTGATCTCAGTGTTGTTTTGCATCTCCATTTACACTGGAGTAAATGCTCCTTGCCTGTTCTCTTCGACCTTGTTTGAGGTTTCGGGCTGCTTTCTCAAGCCTGGGACCTGCATGGCTCTATTGTCCTCTCTGCTGTGCTTTCACCCTCCCTCTGCAGTAGTGCAGCTCAGGGACAGTGGCAGATCTGTCCACCTGTCTGAGAAGAGCCCTATCATTCACTTTGAAGCAGAGTTTTTGGTAGTGCCGGGATATGTGCACTCTGCAGGCTGTGAAGTGGCTCCCTGACCTGAGAGCTACAGGAGCCTCACTGCTTTTATAGCAATTTCTTGTCTGTCTATGGGCCCAAGTTATTTAGAGAGGGCAGAGACGTGGTAGACGGGGGGCACTGGCAGCCCTGGGCTCCGTTCCTGCCTCACCAGGACCTGGCTGGAGCTGGGCCATGGGGAGCAGGACGGCTCTGCTCGGTGCCACCTCACTCTGAGCTTGCTCTGGTGGCTTTCACATGGGATGTCAGCAGCCACCTGCGCCTCCAGCACTGCCCGGTGCCCCAGCACCACCGCTGCTCCCAGCTGGAGGCTGGGCCTGTGCGTGTCCTTGGACAGATCCCTGGCCTTGGAAACCGCCTGCAGCTGCGTTCTCCACATTGCCACCAGGCTGTGGCTCCCCATGAATCAACATGAAGCGTCAGTTGCATTCTTCCTCAAAAAAAAAAGAAAAAAACAATCCGCTGTGCTGCAGGGTGCCCCCGGGTTGCTGTGTGTGTGCAGGGCAGGCGTGCGGGGCGCTGCACGTGTGGCGGGTGCGGGGCAAGGGACTCCCCTGCCCTTCCTTCCCCTTGGGAGAGGCGCCGGCGGTGGCTCCCAACAGCAGTTTCCCTTTCCGGAGCCGCCTTGCCGCGGCACCATGGCGGCCCTCATCTCCGTGCGAGACTTCGTGCGGCAGGCGCGGGAGGACCTCAGCTCGCCCACCACCTCGGCCTTCGCCAGCCACATGGGCCGCTGCAAGGCCACGGCCAACAGCCTGGAGGAGGTGAGCGGGGCCGGGCGCCGTGGAGGCTGCGGCGGCGCCCTGCGCGGAGGCTGGGCAGAGGGCCCCTGTGCCCATGAGGGACGCGCTGGTGTCCTGCCAGGCCAGGGGGCCCCCAGCACGGCCCAGCGAGGGCCCAGCAGGTGGATGGCAGGGAAGCCACAGGGAGGGTGGACATGAGGGCAGCAGAGTGGCTGTAGGGTGGCAGGGTGGCCACAGGAAGGGCACAGTGACTGTGACATGGCGGGGACAGCAAGGTGGCCGTGGAGGGGGTCGGTAGCATGGCCATGAGGACAAAGAGTTCCCCTGGGGATGGCCGGGTGGCTGCGGGGATGGCAGGTCACGCGAGTGCCCGGGCAGGCCCTGCCTCCCTCTGAGGTGCTGTGGGGCAAGGCCCCTGTGGGGTTGTTGCAAGTGGAGTATGTGAGTGGTGGGTAGACATGTTGTTGTGGCACATGGGGACACCACCAGCACCATCACACAGGGGTTGTTG